TGCTCAGCATCTGGCAAGGGTCTTTTTGCTTATGGGGATTCTGTATTGTAGTGAGGCAGAGTATGGCATCACAAAATAAGGTGCACATATAAGGGCTGGGGATATAGCTCAGTTGATAGAGTGCCTGCCATATACATGCACAAGGCCTTGGGTTCAGTCCCCAGCACCATACCCACAAAAAAGTCTGCACATATAAGAGACAGAGCCAATTGGCTTTAATAACAGATCCATTCTGGAGATAGACTATAGATTAATTAATTCACCAGGGCAGAACCCTCAGAACCTAATTACCTTTTTTAAAAAATGTATATATTAGTTGTGGATGGACACATATCTTTATTTTTATTTATTTATATGTGGTGCTGAGGATGGAACCCAGGGCCTCATGCGTGCAAGGCAAGCACTTTACCACTGAGCCACAACCTCAGCCCCCTAATTACCTCTTAAAGGTTCTACCAGGTCCTTTTTAAAAAAGTTCTATCAGGTCTTGTCTCTTAATACCTCACAATGGAGATTAAATTTCAACCTGAGTTTTTGTCAGGATGTTAAAACCACAGCAGTCCAGGATGTTCTTTATTTTAATAGCTTGTTGCCTGAACCTTAGTAAAGTGTTCAAGAATATAAGCTTAAAACAAAAGCAACCAAAAATACAATTTGAGTATTTACTCCCTTATTAGATCTTAGGAACCAACCATTCCATTTTCTCACTTTTCACTGTTAGGTGCAGGACAGGCTGAGTAAGCTGTCTGCAGGACACGCCAAACAAACTTAGCTGCACATGACCTAGCCGCTCAAACCCTCTGATGCTTTATCACCTGTTTGCTTCAAGCCCAAACGCCCAAGCCCTCGCTCAAGGCTGAGCCCTTAACCCCCTCTTGTGCCAACAAGGCAGCTTGCAAACCCAGAGACCCTGTTAGATTTAGGCAACACAACAGAAGGGCTATAAAAGCCTTCCCCAGCTGCCCCCCTCCCACTTCTTTCCTTCTTTCTTTCCTCTTTGTTGCACTGCTGCAATAAAGATCTCTTGGTGTTGTGGTCACTTTTCTTTCATTCACCATGTGATAAGATGAACCATTGTTGAAATTGTATGTCAATTGTCCTGTTAGATTGCCCATATTCTGGATTTGGTGATTTTACTTCTTTGTTCTGGCCAGTGTCCTTCCCATAAACTTCCAGTTTGTACTGATGCTGTTTTATGTTCAACATTTTTGTCATATTGTTTTTTATAAACACATGAATTTAAAGGAGGGCTGTGAGGATTGACTTTGCTTGYGCCCTTTAGAGAAGGGATAATCCCATATTTGGCTTGTAGCTGAGGAGAGCATCATCTCACTCATCCTAATCCCCTCTTATCAGTCTTCTCCTTCCAGGCAAAAATTGTTCAGGTATAAACTTCTTTCTAAAAGTACTATCAATGAGCTTTTAGGGGCTGGGGCTCAGTGGTAGAGCACTTGCCTAGTATGTGTGAGGCCCTGGGTTCGATCCTCAGCACCACATAAAATAGACAAAATGAAGCATGTGTCCATCTACAACTAAAAAAGTTTAAAAAAATGAGCTTCTAATTGCCAAATTAAATTTCTGTAATGTGACATGAAGGACCATAGACTGAGATACAGGGAAGATGTTTTACTCAACTGATTACTGTTGTGGGAGACTGAGGTTCAATCCAAYAGGAAGTCCTCTGAGGAAATATGTAGGGTGTCCCTTTCTTAAGGTTGGGATGCCATGGCACTGACCTACCAATTATTATCCTCCATTGCTTAAGGATTGCCTTCAATTCCTGTGCTGTGATTGCAGGAGCACTGCCCATAAGAAAGCTCTAGCTGGGCCTGGTGGCACATGCCTGTAATCCCAGCAGCTCAGGAGGCTGAGGCAGGACAACCATGAGTTCAAAGTCAGCCTTAGGGCTGGGGTTATAGCTCATTGGTAGAGCACTTGTCTAGCATGTATGAGGCACTGAGTTTGATTCTCAGCACCATATAAAAGTAAAATAAAGGTACATTAACTAGAAAATATTTTTTTAAAAAGTCAGCCTTAGCAGTTTAGTAAGGCCCTAAGAAACTCAGTAAGACCATGTCTCTAAAAAATATATAWAAAAGGAGCTGGGAATGTGGCTCAGTGGTTAAGCACCCCTGGGTCCAATCCCTGGTTAAAGGGGGGGAAAAAAGCCACAAAATTACTCCATCAGAGAAAGCCTTAAGGAAGAAAAGCAAAGTAAACTGACCTGTTAGCTTGGTAGGAAAAGGTCCACCCTAGCTGCATCTTAAATAAGAGGTGAGCCAAAAAGTCCTTGATGTGGGAAGCCAGAAACATCTACTAATGTCTCCTGTATTCTCAAACTCACTTGAATAGCAGCACTACCACTTAGTCAACTGTGAGAACCTACTGCTAGTTACCCCAGCTCATTCACCTTTTCCTCCTTTTAGCATTAGAATTTTTGGATTATGGCATAAATGAAAGGGCTAAACTGGTAGGTTCCCAGAGAAGGTGACGGGATTGGGAAAGTTTAGGGATTTAGGGAGAGGATTCTAGCACTCTGGGGGCTTAATTTCTGCCACTTCTAGGAATACTCAGACTCAATCGTATGTGTGCGTGTGTGTGTGTGTGTGTGTGTGTGTGTGTGTGTGTGTATGTATTAAAGGTACACAGGGGTTGGGGCTGTGGCTCAGAAGTAGTTCACCTGACTGGCATGTGTGAGGCATTGGGTTCAATTCTCAGCACCACATAAAAATAAATAAAATAAAGGTCTATCAACAACTAAAATATTTTTTTTAAAAAAAGGTATACAGATGCATTTTTTTGTGAGACACTATTATTGGGTAGAATATGGAATTTAACTTTTGGCTGTGAATTTACTGTGGAAAGATCATAGGGGGAAGGAGACTGATTCATAGTGGGATAGGGAGAGGGAGCATGGGAAAGATACAAACTCTAGGTAGGGCAGAGGGGTTGGAGGGGGAGGAAAGGGGCATGGGGTTAGAAATGATAGTGGAATGTGATGATCATTATTATCCARAGTACATGTATGAAGACACAAATTGGTGTGAATATACTTTGTATACAACCAGAGATATGAAAAATTGTTCACTATATGTGTAATAAGAATTGTAATGCATTCTGCTGTCATATATATATAAAAAAGAAAGATCATAGGGAGATTTGAAATGACCATCACAGCAATAAAGCCCACAGAAGTGTTGTAAATTGCTTGAATCAGAATTCAGGAAACCTGAATATTTCTATATTAAAATATATTAGTTTATTCACATCTATGGATCCCCTTAAGTTTTAGCTAGGTCTACTGCTTTCCATCTAGTGACAATATTTCCTAGTTGAACTTGCAGCTCAATATAGCAATGCAACTTTAGGATTTCAAAAACATTCAACTGTTTTTTAAAGTTAAGGGACTGAGATAGGCTGAAAATGTTTTACGTTTCTAATTTATGAATATKAAGACAAATCCAATTGAATACTTCTAGTTTTACAACTTAATCATCATTTGATATTTTTTTCCTAATTTCAGCAAAAATTGGTAAAAATGACATGACACAAAGCAATGGGTCCTGGGTTAATGTGCAGCCAATAGCAGATGTATTTTTTCACTACATTGCAAATAGACTCCTTTAAGTTAAATGCCCTTTTCCAACCACCCATTCTCCTGCTGATTAAAGAAGTTTTGCCATTCATATTTATTACTTTCCAATAAATAGTCATGATGTTGGTGGTTTCCAATATTTGAACCATGTTTTGCTTTGAGATCCAATGTATGCACCCTTTCTCGGACAATAATAATATTACTTACATTTGTAAACACTTAAGCTTCAAAGCCTTTATATACATTATTAGCTCATTTGTTTTTTTCCTTTAGTAAATTAAATGATATCAAGAAGAAACATGAATTTCAGGAATGTCAACTTTGCCTTTACTCTGAGGCAGTCATTAATTTTCACATCTCTTTCAGACAGTGAATGTATCTTATTTCTTCATGTTTTAGGAATGACATAATGTTCCCCTAGACAAACATTTGAGCTAGGTGTGTTATGAAATGTCAATTCATTTTTGTAGCAGTGTTCTTAGGACTCTATCATAAGTGTTCTTATTCTGGGTATGTGGATGAACTTCAAAAGTGTCATTTATACCCCTGAAATTAGGAAAATATGAACATTTGCATTTTCCTATGGAATAACTCAAATGCTTTCATCATATTCTCAATTATGAGCCAGGTACCAAAAGAGAGACAGAAAAATAACTGCTCAACTAGAGGGGATAGGAAGTAACTGTTGTAATTTAAATTAAATCCCCACACCAAATTTAAACAAGCATTTGCTAAATCACTTTATCCTTTTGAAAACACCAACGCCACTTAACTCTCTCTCTCTCTCTCTCTCTCTATATATATATATATATATATTTTTTTTTTTTTTTTTTTTTGGTGCTGAGGATTGAACCCAGGGCCTTGTGCATGCGAGGCAAGCACTCTACCAACTGAGCTATATCCTAGCCCTTTACCATATAAATTTAAAAGTATTTGAAAAAACTGGGATTCTCAGCATGTCACACTATAGGTACAAAATCTAAAAGATAATTTAAAGACAGGCACAGTGGCGCACACCTGTGATCCCAGTGGCTAGGGAGGCTGAGGCAGGAGGATCAAGAGTTCAAAGCCAGCCTCAGCAACAGCGAGGCGCTAAGCAACTCAGTGAGACCCTGCCTCTAAATAAAACACAAAATAGGGCTGGGAATGTGGCTCAGTGGTCGAGTACCCCTGAGTTCAATCCTTAGTACCCCCTGCAACAACAAAAAAAGATAATTAAAGAGATTCTAAATCTTACAAATGGTAACCCTGGAAATGACATTATATTGAGCATTTGCTAAGAGATGTAAAGTGAGACAAGGGTGCTTTCTTGTCAAAAAGGGATTTCAACACTGCTAATTGCACAAGTAAGGGTTTTATACATTTTGCAGAACCACTGAATTAGACAGGAAGCATGGGGTTTAGTACCAGTTTTATTTATAACTAACCACATACAAATCACTTATCTAAAAAATAATAGTTAACATCTCCTTAATCCACAAATACATTACAAAACCAAAATCCTCCCCAAGAAAACTTCATTGTAAACCAAGATATTAATAATATTTAGCCTAGGCTTTAACTCAAAGGTTGAGAATTCTCAAATTGGAGAATTTGTCTTATGTATCAGTTATATACCTTAATTGCGCAGATGAATAATCTGGTTGAAATAAAAATTGTCATGTTTCAACCTTACAGAATATAAAGCTATCAACAGAAGTTAACAGAGAAGGAAAAGTTGGCTAAAAAATAACACCAATCGAGAAATAGCTGTCTGTGTTAAGAGCAGTGYTTATAACATCCCTGATAGCAAATAGGACAAAATTTAGACTCTGGCCACTAAAGTATGTTTATCTTTTTAAAGGAACACATATTGTTAGAGCAGGCATCTTCTTCACTAGAAATATAAACAGGAATGTTGAGTAGACTTTTCAAATGGCCAATCAAAATGATGAAGAAAACATTATTTGTTGGACTTTTTAAAAAATATCTTTTGTTTCTGTTTTCATTAAAAAAAAAAAATCTTTCTCACTCCAGACCAGAGTCCTCTGTCCTCTGTTAGAGTATTAAAAATTAGCATTCTGTCACTAGATAATAAACACTAAGAAGAATTAGCATATTATTGAACAGAAATTCAGGAAGATAATTCTAAATGGGTGCAGAAACCTTTACACACCATAAACATCTATATATGTATATGTACACCATTTATCAGGTATATGTGATAACCATATGTATTAATTTATCTTCAAAAGGTAAGCACCTATATTATCTTGTATTTAACAATGTCAGTTTTGTGTGATTTAGTCTCTATTTCTGGACTTTCCTTTACATATGGTGACAGAAAGAGAATGACTGGAGTATAGTTCACAGAGAAACACCAAACAGATACAAATACCATAATAAAATAACTATATATATATATATCACTGCTTAGGAAATATTTTCAAAGAAACATACTTTAACTATTGGCCCCAAATGCCATCATTCACTTATGTTCTTTAACTGTCAACTTTTAATACAAAAATACCTTCAAGCTGATAATCAAGAACATTTACAGTGACTTACAAAACTGACAATATTTCAATGCTAAACAAAACAGTTTTTTTACACAGCTAAAGTTTTAAAGTTCTTTGCTGGCACTTGATTTTAGAGTTGATAGACACTGTTAACTACTGATCTCAATAAAATACATTTTTTAGTTTATACATATTTTCAGACCGAATATTACTTCACAAAAACAGTAAAGAATAGAGATCACTTCCTGAAGAATCCTCTAAGATGAACCCTAAAACTAAACACCAAAATATTTTAGGGAAGCAAATAAACTTTTTAAGACAAGGCATGAACAGTGGATAAAAATTTATATTCCGCAATTATATGTCCAGTGAAAAAGGGTTCTTCCTCTGAGTCAATGAAGCATGTTATCAGGTATAATAAAAACTATAAATTTATAAAGCTAGTTGCTTTTTGTTGTTGTTAGTTTTTGTTGGCTGGTTGGTTTAGAAAGGTATTTAAATAATTGGTAACTCTACTGCCGGATTTTTTTCAAGATGTAGAAAAATTGGTCACATTTAGTAAATACACATTTTATTACTGTTGCCCCCCCCCCAAGATAAAAGCTAAAATGCCTTTAAGTAGTGGAATCCTGATATTTTTTTTTTTTTTACTTTCTGTGACCTTGTAAGGTCTTTCTACACGTTATCAAAATGAAATCACTATTCAGTAGCCTTAATACATATACCCAATTTTTTTTCTTTGCAAAAATGGAGAAAAGCAAACTAAATTCTAACAAACTATTTTCAGCTTAGAATACTAAAAACTCTCTAAAGATTTTGTAAATCTACCACTTTCATTATTCTGAAGGAAAATATACACCTTCAAAAGCCCTCAAACAATTCCTAGTCCAATTTTCTGTTACGCAAATTAAAAAAAATTGTGGCACTGTAAACAGAATTTAAAAATTAACTTCAGACTAAATTAGAATAAACAAAATATAAATGTACTATCTAATCAAAACAATGAAAAAAAGCACCAAGCATCCTAATCAATKATGTAGTTAATTTTTGCACATTTTAATTTTAGACTTTTAGCACAGTAAATTATTAACTAGGTTGATTTCAGAAACTGTTTAAATTTTGTACATTAGCATTTCAAAATATTACCCTTTCTAAACCAAATCTGCAGTCCTGATCAACTTTTTTGTTTTCAGGAAAAAGGGTATCTTTTAAAGATACATTCCACATAGTAGAAACATTTGTTTTGAAATATTTACAAAGAACCCTGCTGATCTGGTGCATTTCGCTGAGGTGCTACCTGTACCCAGACTTCATCATCAGAAAAAGAACTTGAACTTCCTGACTCAGAGTCCAGCTCACTGAATCCATCTAAGTCCCATTCAGTACTGGACTCACTCCGTGCATCATCTTCCTCAGTGATGAAACTCTGACCAGGTTCAAGGCAAGAAGGATAAACACGAGCACAGAGACAAATAAAGCCAGAGTCAAACTGCAAAAGGCCTAACATGGTACCTATGTTAATCCATTGGTCTTCCCTAGTATGGTATTCATACACAGTCACCCTGTTCTTTTTCCATTGTGGGGTGGTAGAAGTGATAAGCAGTAACTTTTGATCATGATTAACGATCTGATAGTTGTGGGTCTCTGAGTCCAAGGGAATATTACTAATCTGTCTCCATTCTCCCCTAGCTGGGTTGTAGACCTTCATGACTGGGATGTCACAAATACAATAGATCTCATCATTGAAGACACATGCTTCCTGAAAGTCACTGCGTTTAAGAGATGCACAGTTCAGCCACATATTATGTCTAGGATCATAGCAGAGCATGCGCTTACTGTTGACAGCGTAAAGATAGTTCTGAACCACTATTAGTTCAAAAGAATAAAAGGAGTGGGGAACAGGAGCCACCAGTGCCCACTGGTTCCTCTGAATACTATAGCATTCCACTTCCTTCAGTTTGACTCCTGTAATAGGGTCTCGCCCACCCAAAATGTAAATGTAGCCATTAAGATATGCCACATCCATGCCCTCACGACACAGCAAGCGGTCTGCCAGTTGCTGCCAACTATTTTGGGCTGGTTTATACACCCAGAGGTCTTTCCTGGGCTGGGCAGCTAGGTAGATGTCATGGTCTGGAGAGACACAGACAGCTGAGGAGGTGATAGTTTTGGTGTGAGCCAAGCTGGTCAAAGGTGATGGCATTGTGTAAATGTCCCCCGAGTATGGGTCATAGCAGAGAAAGGGATCTCTGGGATGTCCAAAGAAGATCACCATCTCCTTGGCACACATACCCAGTCTCTGAGGTGGATTATCTGCTACAGATACAACAGAACTGCTGCTGCTGCTGCTGCTGTTGCTGCTATTTGGCTTTGGCACTACAGATTTGTATAGCATGTCACCACAGCATATCTGCAGGGCCCCTTCAATAATGTCTGGGCAGTACTTCTTCACAATGGGCCTAGTTAGCAGTCCTTCCAGGTAGTCCTGATCTTCTTCAGTGAAGTGTGTCCAGCGGACACACTTGAAGACTTCTGCAGCACTGGGACCCCGCTCTTTGGGAGCAGCCTCGAGCCACTGCACAGCCACACGGCATACAGTACGCTCACTCTCTATGTCCAGACTATCCAGGCGCAGGACTGTCAGTAGCTGGGCCAGGGTCAGATCTGCTAGAGTCTCCTCCCGAACTGAACCCATCCTGCTGAGCTGCTTGAAGTTGTGGGCTATAAAGGACTGGGCCTGTGATCGTAGCTTGTGATGGTCAAAAGCATCAGCAAACTTGAGGATGGCAGTGCAGTTAGTGAGGTCAAGACGGCGGGCTAGAAAGGAAGCACAGGCTTCCCGCACATACTCAAGCTGAAGCATGTCGGAGGCAGCATACAGGCGCTGCACGTTGGCCTCACTCAGGGACACACGACCCGTGTAACAGTAGTCGACCAACACCTCAAAGGACTCTGCATCCACATCATGCATGGTCACGCTTGCTTGCTGACTCTCATACATGCCACCTGTGAACATGCTCTTGAAGTAGGGGCATGCAGCTGCCAGCACGTTGCGGTTGCAAGAAAAGCGGCGACCCGTGCCAGGCCCGCTGCCAGGCGTCACCACTTCGATGGTCACATCACATAGCAGCCGAGCGTCGTAGAAGGACTTCAGCTGTGCCAGCAGGGCTGCAGAATGAGCTGTGTCCTTTAATTCCTCAGGGCCCGTGAAAAAGGCCGAAACCGAAGGCTTGGAAATCCTCTTGGGCCGCCTTCCACCGCGGGGGCTGGCGAGGCGACGAGAGCGCGGAGCGTCTTCCCGGGACTGCATGGTGGAGATGGCGGCGGGGTGCTGAGGGCGAGAACGGCTGCGGGCACCCGGCTCTGGCTCCTCCTCAACCTTCGCTCGCTGACGCTAAGACAGAAGCGTCCCAGAATAGACTGGCCACGCTTACTAACTCAACCCTACGCTGCGGCGCCGCCTCCCTTTATCGCGTAGACAGTGCTTGACTCACCGTTTCCGTTCTGTGCCCTTTTTCCACCTCAGCTTGCCCTTACACGACCACGGGCTGGAGCCTCAAGGACCGCCACTGCCGCGCTGGCGATACCGGTAGGCACTCGGGAGAACTACCGCTCCCAGGTTCCCTTTCGTGCCTCAAAGCATGCTGGGGCCCTGCAGACTCCCGGGCGGAGGCTGACGGACAGAAGTCGCGTGGCATCTTGGGAGTTGTAGTTTGTGTAATGCTGCGAAGTTTCCTGTCGTTGATGGCATTAACAGAACTAGAAAGCGTTAATTTCTCTGAATTTGATGGTTAAGAGCACTGCTTTGAAGTCCAGATTTGAAGCCTCGTTTTATTATTCACTGATTATGTGACTTCTCTTTGAAATTGTTTTATCTTCTTTGTAAAATAAAACAATATCTCATTGGTTGTGTGAAGACAGAATGATATAAATTACAAAGGATKTTTTTTTTATTAGAATAATTAACAAAGTCCTAGGCTTACCTAGAATATAAAGTAAACCATTTTTCACTTTTATTTTTGAATTTATTTAAGGCATTTACTAATTTGAAACCACGAACCTTAATATTAATAATAAAAGCTGTTAATATCTAAAAAGATAACTTACAGTTTTTAATTGTACTGCTTTTGAAAGTTTGTAAAGGTATTCACAATATTTTAAATATTAATGGAGATCTGTAAATCCATTAGGAAGTCTTAGATGACTAAGCTGAGGTCTTAAAGAAGAACTTTTAGATGACCTCAAATATAGAAATCAGGCATATAAACATAGTACTTTGGTTCTTTCACCAAATTACTATCTCTGAGGAGCAAGAGTATTTTCTTTTTTCTATCTCTACTCTCTCTTTTTGCAATCAGGGTTTCCTAAGTTGCTGAGGCTGGCTTTGAATTCACCATCCACCTTTCTCAGCCTCCCGAGCCACTGGTATTAGACCCTGCAGGGCGTGGTGGCTCATGCCTGTAATCCCAGTGACTTGGGAGACTTAAGGCAAGAAGAAGTTGGAGGCCAATCTCTGCAAGCTCTAAGCAATTTAGCGAGAACCTGTCTCAAAATAAAAATAAAAAGGGCTTGGGACATGGCTCAGTGGCTGAGCCTCTTTGGGATCAACCTGTGATGGGGGGGGGGGAGAACTTATATGTTTTCAAGTCGTATGATACAACACCTTTCACCTCGCGCTGCTAATCTACCAATCAATCGATGATTCTCCAATTGCATTCATTAAGGAGTTTTAGTGAGAAATTTAAATCAAAATATTTCAACAAACCCATCTTGTACTGTACAAGAGCACAAAGTACAGATTTTCAGAGTTCAGTATTCATACAAGCCCTGACATTCCTTGAATTAATGTAATACAGGCTATGATGCTTTACCCAATTCTTTTAAAATCTATTAGTTAAATTATCAAAAACAAGCATTTAGAAAATGACTTTTTTGGAAACTTTTATTTAAAACCAATGACTGCTCCTGCTGCTAGTTTTCCATGAGTTACAATTACCTTATGAAAGAAATTTTCAGTAATGCATGCATAGGCGAATTACACATAGCAGGAGAATAACCCTCAACATATTTTCTTCTTCTTTCTTATCAGCTGAATAGGGCATAGAGCAAAATAGTCCAGGTAGTGATATTAAACTAAGTTGGGTTCTGGGCTTCAGTATCTCCTTTGTACATAAAAAGTGATGTTTGGGGGTATCCCTCAAATATACTAGACAGAATTAAGTTAGTCATCATTAGTTAAACACATTATTCACCTACATTGAACCCCAATCAGGGGGAAAGCAACTTTATAAAAATTTTTTAAAATGTCAGTGAAAAACAACCAAAATTTACCATTAAAATTTAAGTATGTATTAGATGTGTTCACATTGTTTTGCAACTATCACCATCATTATTTTACAGGACTCATTTCAAGCAAACTTGAAACTCAATAAACAATAACACCCCTTCTCTCAACTCCTGCAACTCTCATTCTACTTTCTGTCTGCATGAATTTGACTGCTTTAGATATAAGTCCAGTAATTGATTTCTAATTTCCTTATATCTCCCCTTACCTTAGATTACCTTTCACAGAACCCAAAATATTTATTAGACCTGGTTCTCTGCTTTCCCATAGATTATTGCAACTTGGAAATAATGTAAGATCTGTGACTGATACTGATACTTGGTCTTGGTCCCCAATGCTGACTCAATAATGAGTACAAAGTTTTGAAAAAAAGGAAAAGGCAGTTTTTATTTCTTTGCTAGCAAAGGAGAGCAAGACCTGTGATTATTACTGCCAGGGGAAACTGTGGACTTTTAAAGGGGAGACACAAAAGTAATCAGGAGTCATAATTTATATTCAAGCAGTAGCCTTGAGATAGAGCCTTTTCTTAAGTCAACTGGTGGATTCCTCATTCCTGTGGTTGGAGAGTAGAAGGAGAGATAACCTGGCCTAGGAAAAGAAGATGGTTGATCTTGCTTCTGCCAAAGATAGGGAGAGGGAGAGGGAAAGAGGAAGGAAAAAAAATATTAGTTTTTTAAAAAAAGTGCTAGTGGTTTATAGAGCAGCAAGGTTTATATTCAAAGTGTGAAGATTCCTGTTACATGATGATTGATGTAGTACTCAGAAGGCATATTTAGCTGTTAAGTACTTGAAACACAGCTGGTTCAACTGAGAAACTCAATTTTAAACTTTAGAAAGCTGAATTTAAAATGTTAAATTTAGAAATGCAATTAAATGGAGAAAGTGAGGTCTTCCTAAATAGTTTTGGAATAACTGGATCAGAAGGCAACACAATAATTAACCTTGACCCCTTAAGCAATAGTTAATTTGAAATGGATCTTATTTTTTTTTTAAAGAATTTTTAATATTTATTTTTTAGTTCTCGGCGGACACAACATCTTTGTTGGTATGTGGTGCTGAGGATCGAACCTGGGTCGCACGCATACCAGGCGAGCGCGCTACCGCTTGAGCCACATCCCCAGCCCAAGAAATGGATCTTAGTACTAAATGGAAAAGCAAATAAAATGTAAAATTTCTCTCTCTCTCACACACACACACACACAAACACACTAACACACATCCGCACACACAAACAGACAAAACTATTTCCATTACTTTGGTGTTGGCAAAGATTGCTTAGGACCAAGAAAAACAATAATCATAAAAAAGGGCAAAGTGAACTTCAACAAAAATTCAAGCTTCTGATAAAAGGCAGTGAAAACAAAATTTAAAAGTTATAATCTGGAAATATAACCATAATACATATACCTAAGGGTCAATAAACATGAAAAAATGCTTGATGTCATTCATCATCATATAAATGCATATTAGATTCAAAGTGAGAAAATAGCACACCACCAGAATAGCTAAACTTTAAAGATAATACTAAGTATTGAAGATATGGTGCCATCAGCACCCCTATCTATTAATAACACAAATATAAATGGATATGTCTATATAAAGAAAACTCTGTTAGTTCCTTTTATCTTTTTGTTTGATTTTTTTTGTAGTTGTAGATGGTCACAATATCTTTATTTTTATTTATTTTTATGTGGTGCTGAGGATCGAACCCAGGGCCTCATGCTTGAGAGGCAAGTGCTCTACCACTAAGCTTCAACCCTAGCCCTCTGGTTGTTTCTTTTAAACACCTAGTAACCTCACTCCTAGGCATTTGCCTAAGGGGAATGGAAAAACACACACACACACACACACACACACACACACGCCAAATTAAAAAAAAAGAACTTGTATAAGAATTTTCATAATAGTTTTACTTATAGTAGCCAGAACTGGAAACAATCCAAGTGTACCTCAATAGGAGAATTTTTAAAAAGTAGTATATTTGTATAGTGTAATACTACTCAGAAACAAAAGTGAATTACCTTTGGTGCATGCAATAATAYACAAAATTCCTCAAAAATTTAATGTTGTGTAAAAGAAATCAAATAAATTAGTCCATACTCTATGACCATTTCAACCAGAGTCCATACTGGATAATCATTTATGTGAAGTTCCAAAACCGTGAAAATAAGCTTTGATGTATAAAAATCATAACAGCAGCTGCCATTCTTGAGTGAGGGGTGGGGGTTTAACAGACTGCTAGATTGACTGGAAAGGAAAATGAGGAAACTTTCAGGGCTGATGTGTTTCCTTCTTGTTTGGGCAGGTGATGACATGGGTGAATGAGTGCAGTTGCCAAACCCAATGAACTGTACCCTTCAGATCTATATATTTTATGTACTGTAAGTYATATATACTCTCAGAGGAGCCCCTTCATAATTACTGGCACTAAACAAGGTTGCAAACTTCTTTGCTAGGAAATCATCATAAAGATATTTCAGTCATAAAGAAAGATTCTTATCTAGAGTTATATAGGCAAACATTGCTTCAATTCATGAAAATCATTCAGTAGATGTGGTGCACCATAAGGGAACTTGAGTGCCTCTGGATGATGTGCAAGGATCTGCATAACTGGGTTTTTCAAATTTGTAGAGTAGTTGAGTGCCCAACATTACACCCAAGCATTCTTTTTTTCTTGCCACAACTTTATTACTAGCATGCTCCTTATTATCTGATTCCTTGAGCTTTCTTGTAATTTGCATCATTCTCTGCAACGGAATCCACATTCTTCTTGATAAGAAGATGTAAAGAGCTGTTTGTCTTGTAATTTAGTCTTAACCATAAAAAGCCATCATTTCATTTTTCAGGAATCTTTAACTTCATCTCCATTCATGTTTTCAACAATCACATCTACTTGGACCCTTCTGAGAAGATTAAGGTGTCTCACTTATACTCCATCATTTCCATTTCTGGGTGACCTGTCTTTCTGATCCTGGGGATTGAACCTAAGAGTGCTCTACCATTAAGCTACATCCTCATCCCTTTTTATTTCGAAACAAAGTCTTGCTAAGCTGCCAAGGCTCGCCTTGAATTTGCAATCCTCCTGCTTCAGCCTCTGGAATCACTGGGAATAAGGAGTCACTGGGAATGTAAGCATATGCTACTAAGCCCAGTAATTTTTACTTGAAGACCAGATGTCTTCTTTCCTGGGGCAGTGCCTCTCAACTTCATCTTTGAATTTTGTTCCTGATTGGATTTTGAAGACCTCTGTGTTTCTGCACATTGGTGTCTAAGTATCTGAGGACTTTGTTTTCAGGAACCCATTTGTCGCCACTGTAACACATTTCACTCATTTGGCCTGTATAGCAATCTTTATGTGCTTTGATTCATAAGAGGCCCATAAAAGCACAGCACCAGCTGACCTCAGAATTGAGGCTTCAGTACCATTTGTAAGTGATTAACTATCACATTCTCTCACCTGACTCTAGCAACCCAATATCTGGTGTGCATAGTCAGGCACTGCCACAGGTATTGTTCTTACTCTAATTTTTAAATAGCATCTACAGACTTCCTTTCTCCCCTACCCTCATCCCCAGAGAATGTAACCCAGGGKCACTGTACCACTGAGATTCTCCCCAGCCCTCTTTAAAATTTTGAGACAGGGTCTCCTTTAGCTTCTCAGGGCCTCCCTAAATTGCTAAGGATGGCTTTAAACTTGCAATCCTCCTACCTCAGCCTGCTGAGTGGCTGGAATTACAGGCCTGTGCCACTGCACCCAGCTCCTAAAGATGTCAAGTTTATCTTTGTGCTTGGGAAAACTAATAGATCTACTAAGTGAAGCAGTATTTCAAATTTAATTGAATCTCACAGTATGAAAATAAGGTGCATTACAACAGTAAGAACTCCCTAGCTGAATAATAGACATCCTTGCTACTCCAAGTATTATTTGTGAATCAGCAATCTCCACCATTACCTGAGAGCTTGATAGAAATGCAGAATCACAGTCCCCAGACCTACTGAATCAACATCGGAGGTTTCACTCCTTTTTCTTCCATGTAAATTGTAGCTTTAAGGAAAAGTCAAAGCTGGAGGAAGAGGAAAGGCAAGAGAAGGGTGGACAGTACCACAGTTTGGTCAAAGCAGGACAATTGGACACATTAGGTTCTCACTTTGGCTGAAGAAACAATTTCCCTTYCCCCCCCCTTCCCCTCTTAGACCCCTCCCTTCTTGGGTATGTATAGAATGTTAAACATGAATAGATGGTAAGAAATCAATACCCCCTTCTCTTGCTTTCCCTCTTACAACTTTTTACTTTCTCAAATTAACAATTTTTTTTTCCAAAAATCAAGCTTTGGGATTTGTTAGTATTTTTCCTGAAGAAAAATGGTAGAATTTAAAAAATTATATATAATCTCATATTTGACATAATATAATAAAAAATTTATATAAACATATAAATTTTTATATAATAAAAAGGATCTCCTTTTTTATTGTTTCACAGAATATTTAGTATTCATATTTCTTTGGATAAATGTTATGTAAAATGCTTGAAAACAAAATCTTTTACTCTGTAATGCTCCATTCAATATTCTTTTCAATTAAGTCAAATTCTCCAGAGATATTGTTACCAAAAACTCAGTCCTTGTCCCTGATGCCAATCCAATAACAAGGACACGGTTTTGAGAAAAAGGAAAAGGTTTATTGCTTTGCTAGCAAAGGAAAAACACAAGGAACTCCTGTCCCAAAGGCTGTGAATCTGCCAATCAGCAGGAACAGGRGACTTTCAAAGAAGTGACTCAAAGGCTACATTCCATGTGTTCTGTGTCTGGAATTATAATTCACTTGTAAACTTGGGAGATAGCCATTTATGAGATTTTCTGGTACCATCCTCAAAGTCCTGATTACTTCGTTTCTATGGTGAGTGTGTACTCAGGGATAGATAACTCTGTCTAAAATGGGGAAGAAAGGTAATCCTGTTTCCCCTGAGATTAGGGAGGAGAAGAGGTTAGGGAGGAGCATGGAGAGAGAAAGAGAAAGAAACATATCCACTTTAAAAATAAAGTTGCGGGGATGGGGTTGTGGCTCAGTGGTAGAGCACTTGCCTAGCATGTGTGAGGCCCTGGGTTCGAGTCTCATCACCACATATAAATAAATAAAATAAAGTTACATTTACAATGAAAATGAACATATCTTTAAAAAAAAATAAAGTTGCAGTGGCAGAGCAGCATGGGTTATATTCAAAGCATAAAGTGGACCAATGTTACAATATTACAATATCAGTTGTTTTAGGGGACAACACTGACCCTAAATGGCACTGATTCAATTAGGATTAAATAATCTCTCAACTCTGAAGAAGGGTTTTTAAAAAGATGGCCAGCTGGGCTGGGATGTAGCTCAGCAATAGAGCTCCTGTCTAGTATATGGAAGGGCCTGAGTTTCAGCCTCAGAATTGCAAATGTAAAAAAATATTAAAGATAAATATAGAAGAATGGGAACCGTGCTGTTTTATAATTCCCAATGCTTCATTATGTTCTAGCCAAATTGTCAAAGATGAATAAAGACAGATATTAAAGAAGTGAAAAGAAACCGACAGTAGGTGGAAGAGCTGAGTTCCATTCAGATTTGTGCAGAATTAATTTGGGATTTTTTCTTTTTCTTTTTTTGGTACTGGGGGTTGAACCCATGGATGTTGTGTCACTGAGCTACATATCCAGCCCTTTTTAAAATTTTGGGACAGGGTCTCACTAACTTGCTCAAGCTGGCTGAACTTGTGATGCTCTTGCTACAGCCTCATGAGTTGCTGAAATTACAGGTGTGTGCCACCACACAAGCCAAGTTTAGGAATTTTTAAGGAAGATGAGGGAGGGAAGGATACAAGGGCTCAGTAGAGAAGTGAAATAGAACAAAGGGTTAGTCAATGTACATGCAATGAAGCCAACGGTGTCTGCTAGCTGCAGTGACCAAAGTTGGGATTCAGTCCACCCACAGACTGAGACAGAGGCCCTGTCCTTCTTGATGATTACATTACAAAAAAATGACGCAGGTCCTTGAGAGAGATGCTTTAATTGCAAGAGATAGTATTTACAATTACCTTTTTAGTAAATGCTCTAAGGAAGGGAAGTTCCAGCCTTTCATTGGATATGTGTTAACTAGAATAAATTGCAAATGTTCCTGCCATTGTTGAGCTTCAAAAAGTCAATGTCATGTGGGGAAGAAAGTTAAGGGGATTAACCTAAACCAAGGTGATACATCCAAATGCAATGTGTGAATCTTAGTTGGATCCCGGATTGGATAAAACTAGCTAAAACAGATATAGAAATTTTAGTAAGTGATAACTATTATGTTGTAATATATATAATAGTTATATAATTGTTAATTTTATTAGATATGATAATAAAGTTATGAGTTTGTAGAACATGCTTACTCTTAGAAGATGCATGCTGAAATACTTTGGAGCAGTCTCATGAAATCTGCAACTATCAAAAAGCCCGATCACAGAGTGTAGTGTATGTGTGTGTAACAGAAAAAAAAGAAAAAGAAAAAAACCCACAAACTCCCCCAAAACCACATGGGGTAAAATGTTAACTCTAGATGAATATAGGTAAACAGTGTATAATAAATCACCTAAAATTTTAATTTTTAAAAGTTCTCTGTATGCTTGAACATTTTTGAAATAAGAACCTGGGAAGACATTTTTCTCCCATCTTTTCTTCCAAATAATTACATTAGTCTTAGAACTTGATCTTAATAGTCTGTCTGAAGAATATATCTAAAATAACCCTTCTTCAGAACAACATCCTATCATTTTGTGTTAGAGTTGGTAACTTACTTATTTAAGTAATAAAAATATTGTATTTATTTATAAGCATTCAATGTTAGTAGTAAAGTTGCAACTTCTTTTTTCTTTTTTTGAAGTTGGAGTGGTAGTCAGTTAACAGAACAATTTTTTCATAGAAGATGGATCAGAGATAATGAGAATGAAAAGACTACCACCCCCATATGTAACTAATTGGTGCCATGCACCAACAAAAGCCTATTTTAAATTTCCATGTCAATTTACAAGCCCCAGGCAAACTTAGTGGCTACTGGAATACCATCAGGACAGGGCTATATAAAGACATATTTGTTAGTGTGTTAACTATACAAAAAGAGACATTATACAGTTTTAAAACAAACCTTACACACCCTTATATTCAAGTTTCTTCTTTAAAAGAGATGAGTTGTATATAGGGGAATTAAATGGTTTATAGGCAAGGAAAAAGAAATAGACTAGAACCAACTTATTCATTATCATCTCTTGTCTTCCTCCTCTCCCTTGCTTTTCCCAACCCTCACCACTCCTTTTTTTTTTTTTTCTTCTGTTTCAGACTTACCTTTAGCTTGGTAGGCAGTGATATCCTTTTCATGTTTCTCTTTCAACTTGCACTTTCTTTTCATTAAGTTTCTTTACCTGTAGCTGTTATTCCACATTTATCTCCCAGTTTCTTTGCAACATCACCAATCAACAGGTTCAAATGTTCTCCTCTGATTTGGGGGGCAAAACTCATAAGAGAACAAGAAGGAGATCTCTTGGGTATAATGGAATCCCTGAACTTTTTTTTTTCCTTTAGAAATGACATAGGTTTTCATTTCCACCTTTGCCATTGAGCACTTTTTAGAAAAATCAGAAATTGAAGTGCCTTGCACTCTGACAAGTTTGCAGAGCACATATAATGACATTTTGCTCTCAGCTTCTTAGGATCTCCTTTGACTGTGTTTAGCAGATTTTCCTCAGTGAGGCACAGAGTCACATGGTATCAGTCTGCCTCTCATTTGCCCTGTGCTGTCTCTATGGAGCTAAATGTACTGCAGTGGCTGTTAGAAGTTTAATTATCTCATCCAACAAAAATCTCTTTAAGGTAAGCATTGGGTTTTATATATCACTGCATGAAATAGATCACAATGAGTTACTCATATTACATCTGTTGATGCTTATTAAGKTGACCCAAAGGACAATAAGAAATACAAGCAAGCAAAAAGTCTATGTTGAATATTGGCCTCTAGTTCATACAATATAGAATTCATTTAGCAATCAAAAGCTAGGGCATAATCTGTATCCTAGAGATGCTCATTGATGCTGAGTGACTCATATTCTTCACCATTTTTATTGAAAAGTAGCAGTCTAAGTCCTAATTTTGACATAATTAACAATACTTTGTCTTTAAAAAAGAGTTTACAAATAATGTATAAATCTGATATCACTAAATTTTACATTTTCTTGTGGTAGATGAAAAAGGTCTGGTTGTTTTGTTTAAGAAAAGGCATGAGAGAACAAGTGACCTGTCTTATATTACACATCAGTTCTCAATACTCTTTCTCTTTTTTAAAATTTATTCTTTAGTTGTACACAATACCTTTACTTTGTTTATTTATTTCTATGTGGTGTTGAGGATCGAAACCAGGACCKTGCACACGCTAGGTGAGCACACCGCTCTTTCTCTTTTCAATAACAGCTTATTTTCTACTTGGAAATTCAGGTTGTTTATTAAAACTTAAACCTTTAAAGTCAATAAATGTGACTGATTCATTAAAAAAAAATCTATAAGTACTATGTACTTATAGCTGTATTCTATGAATATTCATAAAGATTCCTATGCCTCAGTTCCTGACTGACTCTTTTTTTTGACTTACATAATTTTTTTCTATTTGTTCTTTATAGTTATACATGAGAGTAGAATGTATTTTGACATCATATACATACTCAGTCTGATTCTTGATATAGGACCATTCTGTTGATATGCTAATAAAGAATAAACAAATATTTATTTTGCTGATTTAAGGTTTTCATCCAAAAGTTCAACAATGGCTTCTTCATCTGCTGATTGAAGTAGTCTCTGAATTAGTTGATCCAGGCTTTTCTCACCACATAAAAATCCCTGGTAAAAGAGGTAATTATTATGAAACCTGATACTATAGTTTTGATCTGGAATACCCTCCTCCAAAGGCCCATGTGTTAAAAGTTTGGTCCCCAGTTTGGCCCTATTGAAAGGTGGGAGGTGTGGCTTAGTGGGAGGTTTTAGGTCATTAGGGACACATCATTGAAGGAGACTGTGGGACACTTGTCTCTCTTTTTTGCTTCCTAGATGCCATAGATGAATGGCTTTCTTTGCCACAAACAACCACCATGATGTGCTGTGCCACCATAGGTCTTAAGCAATGGGACCAATCAGCCATAGACTGAAATCTCTAAAACTCCAAGCTATAATAAACCTGCCCTCATCACAAAGACTGGGGAGACTGAGGTAAGAGGATTATAAGTTTGAGATCAGTATCAGCAACTTAATGAAATCCTCAGCAATTTAGCAAGACCCTGGCTGATACCAGGGACCCTGGCTTTACCAGTCCTGTGGTAAAGTAACCCTAGTACCAAAAAAAGTAAAAATAAAAAAATAAAATAAACCTTTCCTCTTTTTAAGCTTATTTATCTTAGGTATTTGTTACAGTAATGGAAAACTGACTAACACACCTGATTATTAAAAATAAATAAAGTGAAGAGTTAAGTTTATACTTCTTTTCTTTTTTTGTGTGTTATTAGGCATCAAACCCACAGAGTTGAGCATGCTAGGCAAGTGCTCTACCACTGAACTACAACTCCTAGCCCAATTTCATTTCTTTACTGTCAATATTTAATAGCAACAAAGGATTACTCATGTTCTACAATATAATGAATAAAACTGCTAATAGGGGAAGATCCCCAGTTTGCAGTGATTTTTTTAGGGGCAAAATGAATGCAAAAGCACAAATGGGGGCTGGGGTTGTAGCTTAGTGGTATAGTCCTCATCTAGCACATGCAAGGCCCTGCTTTCAATCCTYAGCACCACATAAAAATAAATAAATAAAATAAAGGTATTGTGTCCAACTACTTCTAAAAAATAAATAATTTTTAAAAAAAGAGCAAATGGAATTAATTGTTTAAATTTGGATTTTGTTTTAAAAATCAATCCAAGACTTGGATCTTTCCTATAACTCCGGAAACAATGAGAGATCCTAATGAACTTTTGAAACTGACCACATCCTTCTCTGATATTCTTTCTCTTGGTTTTTGTGACACCATTCTAGGGTTTTCAAATCATGTTTGGGAGGATTTGTTTGGTGAATTCTTTCTCTTCCTGTACCCTAAAAAAAAAAAGCTTTTTATTCTTATCCTGAAAATTCTGTTCTTTTCATTCGCATCTTATTCCCAAGGGCAAAGAAGACTGAAATGCCTTAATCSGGCAGATGTTTTGTTGCCACATTAGCATAAATGGTGTTCCTTGCCAAATCCTCTGGATCTAGCTCAGAGGGCACCACCTCAGACCATTTCAGCCCATCTTTCCTGTGCCAACCCTCCAAATTTACATGATTTAATCTGCAAGTGATTTTCAACAGGTTTTTCTCCCTGAAATGGGAAATCCAGTGGTTTTAAAATCTAGAAGTTTTATGTAATCAAAAAATATTTTTGTTGAAATATTTAGGGTAAAAGTCTCTTGAGGTCTGCAACTTGCTTTCAAATGATTCAACAGCAATAGTTGTACGCAGAAAAGAGGAAGTGGGGAGAAAGAGAAGGCAAATAGAGCAAAAATGTTAACAATTGTTGAATCTAGGTTATAGATTACATAGTGTTCATTGAACTCTTTTTTTTTTGGTGGGAGGTGGGAGTAGGTACTGGGAATTGAACTCAGGGGCACTCGACCACTGAGACACATCCTTAGCCCTATTTTATTTTATTTAGAGACAGCGTCTCACTGAGTTGCTCAGTGCCTTCCTTTTGCTGAGGCTGGCTTTTAACTCTCAATCTTCCTGCCTCAGCCTCCGAAGTTGCTGCTGGGATTACAAGTGTGTGCCACTGTACCTGCCTCATCACTTTTCCAGTCATATCTGTATTAATGTAGACCCCAAATTATTCATTCCTACTATTCTTTTTACTGCCTTTTTATGGACTTAAGCTTTATTTTTACTTGACAAATAATAATATATCTATGGGGCATAATGCGATGTTTTGATACTATTTATACTGTGGAATGATTAAAGTGAGTTAAGTATCAAACCCATCAGCTTACATATTTATCATTGTTTTTGTGGTGAAAACACTTAAAATCTATACTTTCYCCAATCTTTATTTTAAATTTTTTTGTGGTGCTGGGGATTGAACCCAGGGCTGTGTGCATGCAAGGCAAGCACTCTACCAATTGAGCTATATTGCCAGCCCCTACTTTCCCCAATCTTGAAACATACAATGCATTATTTATTATAGTCACCATTCTGTGTAATATATTACTAAAGCTTATTCTTCCTGTCTAACTAAAACTTTGTACTCTTCAATATCTTCCCTTTCCCCACCTACCAGTCTCCTCCTTCATATAGATTTCAATGTTTTCATACAGTTTTTTTCATGCTACTCTCAAACTTTTCCTTTTCACTAATGTGTTTTCTTTTTTTCCAATAGGCTGGTTAGTGATTATTGGAACACCTAATATAATTTTTTCTTATTATTTATGAGTCTGGCATATTTAGTAATAACATATTAGTACATAGTCCATAGTCAGGTATTTTATAGATACAAAAGCCAGTTACCTTTCTGTTTCACAACTGAATATTATATTTTGTGCCTACAGGCCCACCTAAAGGATATTACTGGCCATAAGAATGTGTCTCAGGGAAAATTATCACCACTACCAGAAAAACACCCAAAATAATATGGTGTAACTAGAACAATGTGACCAAACATGTTTAGTTAATCCTGTGTGTTTCCTGAGGAAAGGGAAGTTAGCAAATATTTCATCCTTTTTGACTTGGCTGCTGTGTTCCTATGCAAGAAGTGACATAAGATACAAAGATATTTATAAATATATTAAAAACACAGACATTTTCCTTTAAACTTTAATTTGGAGTATATAATAGGATGAATCAAGTGAAAGAGGTTTTAAGTATCAGATGAACCAAAGAAAAAGATAAGAGCTTTCTGTCTCCGGCCTTGTCCACACAGTCCTTTATGGGAACCACTTCATTTTCCCCTTCAGTGGCAGCAAAAGGGAAGTTTTCTTGTGCTTCATTTTTTTTAACATCTTTACTTCTTATTTATGTTTAAAGAATATCTGTTTTTTTAGTTGTAGTCAGACACAATGCCTTTATTTCATTTATTTATTTTATGTGGTGCTGAGGATGGAACCCAGCACCTCACACATGCTAGGGGAGCACTCTACTGCTGAGCCACAGCCCCAGTCTCTAACATCTTTAATTTTATTTATTTATTTATTTTAGGGGCCTCCCTTTTGCAAGGCAAGCACTCTACCACTGAGTTACAATCCCAGCCATGTGCTTCATTATTAATGTATTATTGTTAGTAGTTTTGGCTGGATGGCATTTAGGTAGGTTATTGTTCAAAAAATCTAGACAGGGTCTCTTCCCCAATACACAGCTATAACACCTAATGAATATGCAGTATGGAAAATAGAATTATAAGATGCTCTCTGTTGTATACTGTGTGAATGCGGACAGAACCTGTAAATATGTTGGCATATGATCCCAGAGATTAGGTGAGTAATCAGTTGACTTTAAGTTAATCAAGAGAACTATTATCTAGGTGGGTTTGACTTTATCAGGTGAGATCTTCAAAAAGGCCTGAGCCAGCTAGGGATGTGGCTCAGTGGTAGAGAGCTTGTTTGGCATGCAAGAAACCCAGGGTTTGATTCCTAGCACTGGAAAAAAAAAAAAAAAAAAAAAAAAAGGCCTGAGCTATTCTTGCAAAAATAGATAAAAGAGATGCTAAATGGGCGAGATTATTTAGGAGACACATGGCAAGCAAATTCCAGCAGCATTTAGGATCTAAGAGCAGTTTTCAGCTGACAGCCAGGAAAAGACTAGGAGTGTTAGTCCTTCACTAAAGAGAATTCTGACACAGATATGAACTTGGAAGAGGATACCAAGCTTCAGAAAAGTATGTAGCCTTGATAACACCTTGCTTTTGGCCTTGTGAAACCCTAAGGAGAGAACAGTTCAGTAGTACCTGGATTCCTGGCCTATAGAAAGCATGAGAAAATGAATAAGTATTGTTTTAAACTGCTAAATTTGTGGCAATTTGTTACCCAACAATATATGCATACATGTATATTCAATATGTATATTCAATATGTTGTGATTGTATAACAAAGAATTTGGAATTTTAAAATATAACTATTTCAAAGAGGCAGAAAGATCATATTTCTTACCAGCAAACTAATAAAAATGTAAATTTTAGGGTATTAAGCAAAATTGGCTTAACGATTTAAAATTACTTGGTAATATTTTAGACACAACTCTCCAGAATTGATTATACTTTCTTTGAAAAGCAAAGGTACATAAAGCATAGTCAATAGTATTACCTTAATGTCACGAACTTCATATGCTATCCTGTGGTCAGTGACTCTATCCTGTGTGAAATTATATGTCCGAATTCTCTCTGATTGGGCTCTTGTTCCCACCTATGCCATGACAAAAGCAATTCATACTTTAACTTTATAATTACATTCATCACAATGGAACAATGGAAAAAGTACTTGTAAATGACTCTTCTATTTTAATAGTTTAAGCATTTTCTACTTTTTTTTTTAATGGTGTGTGTGTGTGTGTGTGTGTGTGTGTGTGTGTGTGTGTGTTGGGGATTCAATCAACCCAGAGCCTTGCCCATGCTAGATAAGCACTTTACCACTGAGCTGCCCTTTATTTTATTTTGAGATGGGGTCTCTCTAAGTTGCCCAGGCTCCCAAGTAGCTGGGATTATAGGTGCACCACAACTCCTGGGTAAGCATTTTCTAAAAGTCATACACAGAAAGTGACTAGACAAAAGCAGGCAAGAAAGTCATTAAAGTCTTAACATTAAAGTTAATGTTAAGACTAGAGGTTTGGGGCTGGGAAGGTAGCTCAGTGGTAGAGCACATGCTTAGCATGCTGTACAAGGTCCTGGGTTCAATCCCCAGCAACACAAACCAAACCAAACCAAACCAAAAACAAAAACAAAAAAACATAAGTTTGTAAAACTTAAATATGAAATAAGAAAAAATGTCTTTTTAACACTTCCAATTCCAAATACTTAAAACCCAATCATCTTTCCACCCCAATTAGTTTCTTCTCCTGGTTCTACAAATGATACATACCACCATGTGTTCCCTTTTATTCAAGTAGAAAACTCTTGACACCCTGACAAGCACTTCATGGGAGGTTACTATCTCAGGCTTTGATACAGACTCTGGGGGAGAGCTTTCCTTCAATTCATCCAATTCATCCCATTCTCTAACTACCCATTTCTAATTGGTATCAAGAATCTTTAATTTTAATCTGCCTTTTCTATTTATACTGTCATTTTTAAAATTTAAATTTTGCAAAGCTCTCCTTATTAATCTGTTGATTTTTCTGCTTATACTGTGCTGACTTGCTTCATCTTCCTAAGGCACAGCCTTGTGAGTAAGTTTTCTTCTTGGTTCCTTCTTGTCTTCTAAGCAGACACAGCTCAGCATTCAAGATGCTTCCTAACTTGGCCAACCTTCCCAACATTATTTATGAAGATTATGTGACCATCTATGATGCCACTTATTATATTATGTTATTTTTATGTGTGTACCTGTTAACTGTGCTAAAACATCTCACAGATGCCCTTCTCTAACACTTTCCTACCATCTCTTCCTTTCTGGTCCTGGTAATTTTAACACGTTCTCTTCTTCTTTTAAAACTCTTTGCACTTGAAATCTTCTTCAAAGCACACCAGAGTTCACCTCAACCTAAGATTATTTATATTATTCTTAGTCTATGCATCTCCCCTACCCCATCTCCCAATACATGTCATACACAGCATCCTCCCTCAATTGCTTTCACTTTTTAAGATTATAAAAAAGAAATTCTATAATTCATTTTTTAAAACACAAAGGTAAACAATATGGTCAAGAGAATTTTTTAAAATTACAGATTCTTAAGCCTGTATATGGGATTGTGTATTCTGAAAATATTCCCCAGGCCATCCATTCTGACAATCAGCCAGGTTTGGAAACTATTATTCCAAAGTATCATATTCAGAGCCACAACCCAAGTCCAGAACAATCAGATTAGAATCCCAGGATTGGGGGCAGGTCAGCATCTATAAAGCACATAGGTGATAGGTTGAGCCAGGCTGGCACCAGGCATCATGCCTTCTGTATAAAAGCCACTGAAGAAAACCCTTCTAAGCTTTAGAAATCCCTATTAATAAACAGTTCAGGAGGTAGATAAGAAATTTTAAAAGCAGAGAGATCCTTTCTGGATCTTTAAGTCAGGCTACTGAAGGAGATATATACATGTAATTTACATAAAGCCAATCTTAAGTACTTACCTTAAAAACTACCATGTAGAATATCTAGTGCCAAAATGTTAAGCGGTAAGTAAATCTCAATGTCTTTTATAATTTCCAGTGGGGCAGAATTCATAGTATTTATGTTTTCACTTACTTGCCAAGAAGCAATAGTATGAAAATTAATAGTCCTATCTACAGATGTACTAATGCTGCTCTACAATCTGGAATTACAACACATAGAGTATTAATATATTATTTATCCTGGCACTTTTCCTACCTGTAAGTTAGAATGATTAAAAAAATAGAAAATGTAAAAAGATAGGGACATATCTAGATGAAAACAACAATTAATATTTACTTTTATATACTTCAGTATCCTAAAAGGCCATAAAATCTTTCAAATTTGATTTACTGTGTCATACTTATCTGCAAATAACATAAAAGCACAGTTATTTCTGAGTTCTACTTTCTTTTCTAGCCTCTTTTAAAGAGAAACTTTTTTTCTTTTAGAATTTTAAATTATTTAAGTTTGTTTACTTAAGACAATGACATTCACTCATTTTAACTTGTAAGTTATCTGTGTACGTATTTGAATAAAAAACACTATAAATGTATAGTGCACAAAATTCAAAAAGTATACTAATGAAAATAATAATGAAAAGTAAATCTCCCTCTATCCCTTGTCCCCAGTCTCTTATCAGTAGCAATCACTGTTCCCTATTTTTAAAAAAATTTTTTAGCTGCAGTTGGACACAACACCTTCATTTTATTTATTTTCTACATGGTGCTAAGGATTGAACCCAGCACCTTGCTAGGTGCTCTGTGAGTGTTCTACTGCTAATCCACAACCCCAGCCCATGTTCCCTATTGTTGAGAGCCACAGCCGAATGGGCCCCAGCAAACTTCCAGCTGCCAGCAAACTTCCAGCTGCCAGCTGATGATTGGCTCACAGGGGTCCCAGCAAACTTCCAGCTGCCAACAAATTTCCAGCTGCCAGCTGATGATTGGCTCACAGCGGCCCAGCAAATTTCTAGCTGCCAACTGATTGGCTCCTCTGCGGTCATGCTCATTGGGCTGTTTCCCCCGCCCTTTCAGACCATGGAGCTGCTCATTGGGGGACTTTTTTTGGCTCCGCCCACGCAACCCAGCCAATTGGCCTCAAGAGCAGGAGGGGTGGGGGAGGTTGAGAGGCTTGTGGGAAGCTGGTGGTGGCAGCTGGGCTCTGAGGATTTTCCTGAAGAGCTGTGTGGTGTGGGTGTGTGTTCTAAAAATAAAGTTCGTTTCTTTTGACAAGTGGCCCCTGAATTGTGCCCAGCCAGACCGCAGCACCCTATTTTTTTTTGCACTGTCATTTATATTTGATCCATATATAATTATAATAAAAAGCATAGCTCTTTAAGGAAAATATCTGAAAATCTCAATTTCTTTTTCCCCCCTTGATACCAGGAACTGAACCTAGGGGAGCTTAACTACTGAGCCACATTCCTAACCTGTTTTTTATTTTTCTATTTTGAAAACAGTGTCTCACTAAGTTGCTCAGGGCCTCACTAAGTTGCTGAGGCTAGCTTTGAACTTGCAATCTTCCTGTCTCAGCCTCCTGATCCACTGGGATTAGAGATACACCACTGCACCTGACCTATTTCTAAAGAATTATTTTGTCTTTAAAACCAACTTCCTTTTAAGACAGTTATGACATACACACTGGAGATAACAATTGTTTAAGCATCATTCATTTACTCATTTGTAAATTGGAAAGCCTAATTTAATCATATCAATCCAAGCCAGGTGTGGTGGCATATGCCTATAATCCTAGCAGCTCAGAAGGCTGAGGAAGGAAGATTGCAAGTTCAAAGCTAGCCTCAGTAACTTAGCAATGTCCTAAGCAGTTTAGCAAGACCCTGTCTCAAAACAAAATATAAAAAGGGCTGGGGATATGGCTCCATGGTTAACTGCCCCTGGGCTCAATCCCTGGTACCAAAACACACACACACACACACACACACACACACACACACACACACACCTATCCATCAATTCACAGGCATTTAAGTCACTGCATATCTACAAAAAAAGCACATTTCCCTATGTTGTAAGACATTTCCATTTATGCAAGAGAAAACACTGTACTTTCTAAACAGAGTGTTGACTTTTGTACAGTGTCTAAATTATTACACTAAATAAGCCTTACCTGCAGTTTTCTAGCACTTTGTTGTTGACACCTGTCCTTCTCAATAATCTGCTGGTAGAGTCGGGCTCTCAACACACGCAAAGCTATTTCTTTATTTTTCAGCTGTGATCGTTCCTGTTGGCATTCTACTACTAGCCCTGAAAAACAACAGAGATCAGAGGTAAATTGTAGCCTATGCAGGCCAAATTAAGGCAGAACCGAGGACCATTTGAAAGGGGAAAGGTTAATTAGGAAAAGATCACAAAAGATAAAAAACATTTCAGAAACTGGTAACATCTGGAAATAGTTGCTTAGATTCTAATGTCTGATGAGATATTTCAGAGAGCACAAAGCAGCAGATGGTTATAGATACACTTATATACTTTCATTTCCCGAGCTTGGCCTCTCCCTCCCAGCTCATCCATGTATTTGGACAGATCAACAATAGCAAACTGCCCCTCTCCCCTGCAGTACTGCTCCATTCTCTGTCCTACTCAAAGAGGACGCAGTTTTTCCTGTTTTGGTCACAAATACACACAGAGCTGATGTTTTAAAAATAACTACACAATGAAAACAAAAGAAAGAAGCTACTCAAAACCTTTAAAAGGAAAAATTTATATTTATAGTGACTATGCTTTTGAGTTATCTGGGTTCTAAAAAGGAATGTAATACATTCCTCTGAAAAATTGTGCTACAACTGTGTACAATGAATCAAAATGCATTCTGCTGTCATGTACACCTAATTAAAATTAATTAATTAAAAAAATTAAAAAAAAAAATTAGGGCTGGAGATGCGGCTCAGTGACCAAGTGCCCCTGAGTTCAATCCCAGTAACCCCCCACCAAAAAAAAAAAAAAGAAAAAAAAAGTTAATTTTTTTAAACTGAAAAATGAGAGAAATAAATGCACTGCCTAACATCATTTTGGCCAATGACAGACTGTATATACTCTAGTGGTCCCATAAAATTATACTACCCAGTGACATCATAGTCATTTTAGCTTGTAGACCTCTATGTTTGCACAATGATGAAATTGTCTAATGATGCACTTCTTAAAATGTTAAATCCCTATTGTCAAGCAATGTATCTAAAATCATATTAAGAACTGTAAAACTATCAAATAGTATACCAAAATTATCAATAATCAAAATTATAGCATTAATGTAGCAGAGCCTCATGGAGCTAGCAGTGGTCAATCTACAAGGTGACAAAAGACCCATGGAGTGCAGTACCCCATACTGCTTCTGTGTTTCATTTGTATTTGAGCTGAAGCCCCTCTGGTTGCTCACACCTATCCAGTATATCTAGGCAGCTTCCCTGGATAGTTCTGCTCACTATCTGCAGCCTTTGAGAGAGAGAACTTTTCCACATGAAAGAGAAATATAAACATAATGAGGGCCTTGGGCCCACGATAACAGTGTTACCTTTAAGGATTTTGTAGGAGTCAGGTACTAACACAGGACTACTTCCTACCAAATGCTGAAGAGTTAAGATGTGAAAAAAGCATGAAAGCACAAAAGCAAAGGGACTTGCTTACCTGTGGGGATGTGGACAAGTCTAACAGCACTGTCTGTTGTATTAACATGCTGCCCTCCTGCTCCTTTGGCTCGAAATGTATCTATTCGCAAATCCTTGGGGTCAACTTTCACATCTACCTAGAACAAAAGGTATAACAAGTACATTCTACACTCCATGAAGACTTGCATATTAAATTTATTCTGATATTTTTCAAATAAACTGGACTGTTTTGTGTTGTTACAGCCATTAAGCTAAAAGGAGAAATTACTATACCAAGAAAAAAACCACAAGCTCCTTATTTTGATAGGATGCTGTTCTTAAAACAATGACAGGATGTTATTACATCACCAGGTTATATACAATCTTTCAAAAATTTCATTCTTTAACACAGTTATATTACATAGAACATACAAAATATATATAAAAGGTATATATACACATATTTTATTAATTCAAAATCATCATTCATGGATCCCTACTTGTAAATATGTCTACTTGTTAAAATTTATTTGTGTCTCCCAAATCATCGCTTTTACAGTCCTTTGCAGATATGCACAGGGCAGTTAAAAATTTAAGCTGCTCTATATTCTTATATTTTCAGCTGTGGTCAGACAAGGTGACAATCTACCTTCTTGTTTCAGTTTTCAGAGATGATCAGAAGACAGAGATAGATGGTAGGGGAAGGGAAATGTGATACAAGAAGCTTTGCTTGTGGGGCCAATTGAATAGGGTTTGTTTTGTTTTCATTTGTGTTTTACTTAAACCAGGGTCTTACTATATAGTGCTCAGGCTGGCCTTGAACTCCTAGGCTCAAGCAATCCTCCTGCTTCAGCCTCCTGAGTAACTAGAGCTATAAGTGATCACAGTATTGCCTTGCTAGGACAGGGTTTAAATCTCAGCTCTAATATCTGCAGCAGCCATGACAAGCCTCAGACAAGTCACTTAGTGTCCTGAGACTCCTTTTCTCTTTTGTAAGAGATAGAAAATAGAATCTAGCACTATGGGTTGTTTTTAGGATTTAAGATTATAATCGATAGGATACATATGCACGTGTATGAATTAGCAAATACTGAACAGTTGCTCCTAAAACTAATTTGAAAATTATTGAACTATTCCTGTTAAGTGGCTGAGTATTTGCTAAATGTTTTCGCTGGAACTTTACTGAGCAAACTACTGCAAATAATAAGAATTGATGTGTGTGCACATGTGCACATGCACACATCAGTGAGTTGAAAGGTGATCCCCAGAAAAATATGTTCACGTTTTAACACATGGAACCTGATTTGAAAAAATGTCTTTGCAGATGTAATTAAGATGAGGTTATACTGTATTATCTAACAGGCCCMAATACAATGATAAGCATCTTTGGAAATGCTTGTGTGTGCTTATGTATGTCTGTGTATTCAAAATAGTTACCAAATAGGCTGTGTTATAATTTGAATCTTGAATGTCCCCCAAAGACACATGTGTTAAAGTCTTGATCCCCAGCCTGTGTCCTTCTTGGAAGTGGTGGAATTTTAGGAGACAGGACCTAATGGAAGGAAGTTAGGTCACTGTGGGCATGCCCTTAAGGGGACATTGAACTCTGGTCCCTTCTTCTCTCTTTGCTTCCTGGCTGCCATGAGGTAAGTAGCTTTGTTCTACCACACATTCCCCACCATAATATTATGCCTTGCCACTGGTCCAAAGGCAACAGGACCAATTGACAATTGGGCTCTAAACTGTGAGTAAAAATAAACCTTTCCTCCTTATAAGTTGATAATCTCAGTATCCTGTCACAGTGACAGAAAGCTGAATAATACATGCTATTTTGAGGGGAGAGCCAACATTGTGTTCTACATTCACTACTATGAGTGACAAACAGCAAATGTGATGTTTCTCTTTGAAAAGTAAACTAGGGCTGGGGATGTGGCTCAAGCGGTAGCGTGCTCGCCTGGCATGCGTGTGGCCCGGGTTCGATCCTCAGCACCACATACAAATGAAGATGTTGTGTCCGCCGAAAACTAAAAAATAAATACTAAAAAATTCTCTTTCTCTCTCTTAAAGAAAAAAAAAAAGAAAAGTAAACTAATAAAGGGTCAAGGTTGTAATGTAACACAACACTTGCTTATTTATTTTGTTTCCTCTAAAATAAGTACTACATATGAAGAAAAAGGTTATATGACTTTTGTTAAAATATACTAGTGCAAGCTACCTAAAAATTCAATAAACACTAAAAAGATTATTTCCCCATTTCTTGTGGTTATAGTATAATTAGTTATATTACTATATAACTTATTGTGTAGGTATTATATGTCATATTCTTCAAATGTTAAGTTACATTAAATGAGTTTAATTTTCAAGAATATGAAGACATAATGGGCAGGTAGGCATGGGTGGAAGGAATAAAGATGGTAGCAAGAAAATTCTAGGTTTGATTTTTTAAATTTGTAAATGTTTACATATACCAAAAATAAAATTAAATAAAAAAGAAAACAAAAATCAAATCCTAAAATTAAATAGAAACATAAACAAAGGAACAAAATATTTACCATAACAACTATGTAGAAGGGGAGGGGGGATAGTAGAGGATAGGAAAGGCAACAGAATACATCAGACACTAGTATGGCAATATGTAAAAATGTGGATGTGATTCTGCAATCTGTATACGGGGTAAAAATGGGAGTTCATAACCCACTTGAATCAAATGTATGAAATATGATATATCAAGAACTATGTAATGTTTTGAACAACTAATAAAAACAAAACAACTATGTAGAAAAAAATTATTTCACATAGTCTTTGAAGGTAGTATTCTGATTATATATTCTAAGGGCAAAATCTTACATATTACTCAGTAGTTTACTATTAGTAATACTGGTATTATAATTTTGAAAGTTTTAAAACATTGTATAATAAAGCAAATAAGTAAACAAAGTAAATAAGAAACAAGAACTTTCACTCTTAAGTGGAGATAYAAAATAAAAGAAGAAAGGGGGGAAAAAAACCTCTATAATGTTAAATTTGAATTGGTAATATGAAACTTATTTTAAAATATATTTTTTAGCTCTGTCCATTGGAATTCTAGAAGTTGGGATGCTCTAGTAATAATGATGACATCAAGAACCCAAATACTGCTTTTGGGGTACATTCCCCAATAAAAAGGACCAGGCTAACTTCAGGCCTGAGACAGGACATTATTGGGACTGGGATAAGTAATAGTATCAGAAAGCAAGACTGGTAGGGGTCATTTCAAGAAAAGGCAAAATGAGTACCCTAAAAAGGCTATTACCCACCCAATGTGGGATAATATAAACATCAAAAAGATTAATAACTACAACAGAATGAATTAAAACAAATCTATGAATCTATAATGAGTTTAGTATATAAAACTTTATATCAAGAATTTATAATGAGGGGCTGGAGTTGTGGCTCAGTGGTAGAGTGCTTGCCTGGCAYGTGTGAGGCACTGGGTTTGATCCTCAGTACCACATAAAAAAGAATGAATAAAATAAAGATATTGTGTCCATCTACAACTAAAAAAAAAATATTAAGAGTTTATATAATTCCTCTGGCTCAGGAGGCTATAGTATGAGAATATAAGTTCAAAGCCAGCCTCAGCAACTTAGCAAGATCCTGTTTCAAAATAAAAAATAAAAAGGGCTGAGGATATGGCCCAGTGTTTAAGTACCCCTTGGTAAAATGTTTGGTACCACACACACACAAAAAAAAAAAAAAACAAAAAGAAAAGAAAAGAAAGAAAGAAAACAAACTATGGATTTAAAATTGTTGAGAACAGGATAATATGCACCCAAGAGATTACCTAGTAATTGCAAAGGGGAAAATATACTTTTAGAGTAGAGATATTTTGTGTGGTCACCATCCTAACTAAATGCTCAAACTAAGCCTCACTAAAAGTGGGACAATCTGACATATGTGCCTTCTGGTAAGATGCAACATAACTCTAAATTTACCTATGAAGTATTCTTGCTCAAAGCCTGTATCCTGAAGGTAGTATAATAGAGTATTTATATACAACTTTCAATGTATTACTAGAGGGTAATGAAACATGTTAAACAGTACCATGAAGAAAAAATAATGAATCCAGAATGAGGAACACTGTATAAGACAAAGAGTGTAGACTGTTCAAAAGCCAATACCATTAGAGAAAAAGGCAAAAGACTGTTCCAGACTTCAAATGTGTAAAACTCAACTGAATCCTGGCTAAAAAAATAGCCATAATATACTTTTGTGTCGACTGCAGAAATTATAAAATGGACTAGATATTTAGATAATATTACATAATTTAACTAGGAGTATAACTCAGTGGTAGAGTGCTTGCCTAGTATGTGTGAGGCCCTGGGTTTGATCCTGGAATGGAAATAAATAAATAAATAAACAAACAAACAAACAAAYAAATAAATAAATAAGACGTAAATGTAAAAAATAAAGAAAATATTATACAATCACGAACAATTTTCATAGATGATGATATTGTGTTTTGTAGGACAATGTCTTCATTCTTAGGAGATGAATATGGAAGATTCGAGAAATAAATCTTATGGTGTCTGCTATATCTTTTGTAATTTACCTAAAAAAGATATAAAAACATATCTATGGGAGTCAAGCAAATATAACGATTCCTGACTCCAGGTAAAAGTCATGAAAGTTTTGTTGTGGTAGAAACCCCATGCAGATATTATATTACTAATCCTGAAGTATCTATGGAATTAATTTTTTTTTCTTAAGATAAAACTTATATAATAATATTTTTAAAACTTTGTGGATTCAGTTTTTAAAAGAAGTCACTTCTGACCAGGTGTGATGGTGCATGACTGTAATCCCAGCAGCTTGGGAGGCTGAGGCAGGAGGATCCAGAATTCAAAGCCAGCCTCTGTAAAAGCAAGGTGCTAAGCAATTCAGTGAGGCCCTGTCTCTAAAACAAAATACAAAATAGGGCTGGGGGTGTGGCTCAGTGGTCGATTGCCCCCGAGTTCAATCCTTGGTACCCCCCACAAAAAAGAAGTCACTTTTATTTTAAACAAAATATCTTGGTAAGGTTGGTAAGGGAGAGCAAAGGCAACTTTACCTGGGGAAAGATTTCCCATTAGAAACTAAAAATCTAATCAATAACCATTAAAAAACCAGATTTACCTAGAAGTTAAGGCTTCTCAGCAAAAATACCCATTTACATGAAGTGAGTTTTCAACACCTCCTGGTGAGGTTACCTCATCTGGCTGAGGAAGGACAATGACTGACATTGTTCCTGTGTGAATACGCTGCATTCTTGATGACAGCCCCACCTCAGGGATTCGCTGGACTCTGTGAATTCCACCTTCATACTTCAAATGCTTAAAGACATTTTCACCAGAAATTCGAGCAGCTGCGTGATGTAGTCCACCTAGGAAGAAAAATTCAGAAACATTTACAGATTCTACTGTGAAAGGGATTAGGATCCTAAATGTCCTTAATTTAAGGTCTGAATGTGAGTATAGAACCAGAGATAAGAACATAAGGTAGGTACAAAAGTATATTTTCACAATGTAAATATACTACTATATAAAAGGAAACACCAAAATACTGTTTATGGTTATCTCTGGGAATAGAATAATAGTAGATTTGTATTGACTTTTCATATTTTTTGTTTGTTAAGTATTATATAAGAAACAAGTTTTACTTTCTTTTTTTTGGTACCAGGGATTGAACTCAGGGGCATTCAACCACTGAGCCATATCCCCAGCCCTATTTTATATTTTATTTTGAGAAAAGGTCTCACTGAGTTATTAGTGCCTTTGCTTTTGGACTCACGATCCTTCTGCTTCAGCCTCCCAAGCCTCTAGGATTACAGGTGTGTACCACTGTGCCTGGCCCAAGTTTTACTTTTATAATTAAAAAAATATATACGATTAAAAAGATACTAAGAACTGTCTACATTGAATTATCCTATGTTGTCTTAGGCTAATATAATGCCACATGTAAAAGAATATTCAACATAATAATTTTGCAATGTTTAATAACTCAATAGGCCCTTCTAAGTTTTCAAGAATTTAATGAAAGTCAGCTCTTGCTTATCTGTGGAGTGGGAAGAATGTCAGATACACAAAAATATCTTAATACTTTAGCTTTTGTGTTTGTTTGTGTTTGTGTGTGTGTATTAAGGTTTAGCTTCCATGTTTGTTTGTGTTTGTGTGTGTGTATTATCAAGGATTGAATATGTGGTGCTCTATCATTGATTCCCATCCTTTTGATTTTATTTTGAGACATGGTCTCACTAAGTTGCCCAGGCTGTACTCAAACTTGTGATTCATGTGCTTCAGTCTTCCAAAACGCTGGGATTATGAGTAAGCCACCACACCCACTTGATCAAGGCTCAACTTATTTTCATCTAAAATGGTTTTTTTTAATCTTTTTTTATGATAAAATAATATTCAGATACAGAAAATCACAAGAATCAATATATGGCTTAATGACAACCACTTGGATCAAGAAGAACTTTGCTGGTCTCCCCATGCTATAGTTTAGATCTGGAATATCCCCTAAAGGCTCATATGTTCAAGGCTTGGTCCCCAACACAGCAATATTTAGAGTGGGGTTTTGGGGAAGTGATTGGATCATAAGGGCTCTAACCTCATCAATGGACTAATCTATTGACAGGTTCACAATTAAATGGACTACCAGGAGGTGGAGGAAACTAGGAAGTAGGGCCTAACTGGATGAAGCTGGTCACTATGGGCAGGCCCTGGAAAGGCATATCTTCTCCCAGGCCCCTTCTAGGCTCTGTCTGTTTCCTGGCCACTATAAAGTAAGCAGCTCTGTTCCACCACTTGATCCCTGCCATGATGTTCTGCCTTGCAAAGCCTCAAGCAAAACAGCCAAGTGACCATGGACTGAAACCTCTGAAACAGAGCCAAAATACATCTTTCCTCCTTGTTTTTCTCAGGTATTTTGTCAGTGACAAAACGCTAACATACTGGATAAGCACTCCTAAAACTCAATTTCCCCTGTGAAAAATCATCATCCTATCTTAAAATTGAGCCTGGTATGATGGTACATACCTGTAATCCCAGCAACTTGGGAGGCTGAGGCAGGAGGATTGCAAGTTCCAAAGCAGCCTTAGCAAGGCCCTAAGCAACTCAGTGAGACCCTACCTTAAAATAAACAAACAAACAAACAAATAAATAAATAAGAAAGGTAGGTTAGGGATATGGCTCAATGGTTAAATACCCCTGGGTTCAATTCTTGGTACTAAAAAAAACCCAAAAAATTAATTTTAAAAAAATTGCAGGTCCTTATAGCTCAGTGGTAAAGCTGGTACTTAGCATGCACAAGGATCTGGGTTCAATCCCAGCACCAAAAGTTTCTTATTCCACACATTTATGATTCATTTTTTTTCATTTCCTCTCAATTAACTGTTGAAAAATATTTTTAGGCAGTTTTTCATTTCTATAATAAAACAAATACCTTAGGAAAATTAATTTTAAAGGAGAGATTTTTTTTTAATTTATGGTTTTAGTCCAAGGTTGGCTGCTGGCTCCATTGCTTTAGGCCTTATATAAGGTAGAAAATCAAGGTGGCAGGAGTGTATGGTGGAACAAAGTAGCTCACTTCAAATCAGACAGGAGGAGGAGAGAGTCTGGGGACAAGATACTCCCTTCAAAGAGATACTTGGGCTGCTGACCCGTAGAAATTCCAACAGCCTGGTTTTGCAGACTGCATGCACTTGGTACATTTAACTATTCTGCTGCCCTCTGTATTGGCTGTAATTTGGCAGGTGGGTCCAGAGACTAAACCAGACATCAGCTTGAGCCCCTTGTCAAGATTACAGAAGACATATAATGTTCTTTTTATGGTCTTCACAGCTTTTGATATGATGCTTAATGCATCATGGTGTTATAAAATAGTCTATCATTTCTTTCTTACTTTTTAGTTAAAAAGAACATCTATAAAGAGAGAACTATTTTCTTTTGTCCACTGTTTGATTACTTGGGGATACAACTGCATTGGACAGTCAGGATAAAATGCTTGATTCTGTCCCTTTACTAGTTTTACCAATATACCAATGTTTTTCTGCAATACAATGAATTGGGACTTTCTATCCTCTCAAGATGACCAATTATTTTTTTTTAACTATCATAATGAACTCAAGAGTACAAACTCATCTAGCATATTTACATCAATTCCAATTATTATTTTTGAAGCTTAATTTGTCTCATCTTTGGCCAATGGAAGCCTCTTTAGGTTTACTTCTGTGTTCTTTTGACATGACCCTTGCTGAAGTGTAACAGGATACTCCAGGATTATCTTGAACAAACCTTACCTCAAGAAAATCACTTTCATATTAGGGGGTTTTATAGAGATACCTTGTAATAGTATTAGTATAAATGCTGTTTTGGGGTTCTGGATTTGCTATTAAGTTGTTCTGTGTGTTTTTTTAACTAAAGTTTTTTTTTTWAAATATTTAGTTGTAGATGGGCACAATACCTTTATTTTATTTATTTATGTGGTACTGAGGACCGAATCCAGTGTCCCATGCATGTAGGACAAATGCTCTACCACTGAGCCACAAACCCAGCCCTATTCTGTGTGTTTTTATGTATAGTTTCGGAAAGACTGAAAACTATGTTGCTGTGGCTGCAGCCATCTTCCTAATACRCTTCTGATGAAGACACAGTACTATGAAATCCAACCTACCAGGTTTCCAGAGTCAAACATACATAGACAAAAATTAGGTATAGTTTTAGATTACCCTTACAAATGCCTTAAGAAGGTATCAAAGAGTGATATACTATCTATTAAAAAGTTCAATATAGCTGGTCTTCCTCCAGCACTGGATCAAATTACTGCTAATCTTGAATACCACATAAAGAAGCTGACATGTGGGGTGGGGATATAGCTCAGCTGGTAGAGTGCTTGCCTTGCATGCACAAGGCTCTGGGTTCAATCCCCAGCACTACAAAAAACAAAAAACAAACAAAAAAAGCTGACATGTGCTTAAGAGAACAGACTGTAGGAAAAAATTGATTGTTTAATAGTCATGTTCAGTGTGTTAAGATAGTTATAGTACAAAAACACCCAGGAATTTGAAAACAGAGTAGAGCCACAACAAATTTATTTTTGTATGTGTGTGAAACTGGGATTGAACCCAGGGCCTTGCTCATGGCTAGGCAAGTGCTCTACCACTGAACTTCAACCCCAGTCGTCCTCATGCTGTACTTATAAAATTATTCTTCCCATCCCTTTACTTTATGTTGAGTGCAAATATTTGAATTTACATAAGCTGAAAAGGAGAAGGCTACAACTTCCCTGTACAAACTAACAGAGCCAGTGTTAGGTTGCCCAAGTTCAAATTTGAGGGTCCTCTTCTTCCTAGCTGTGTGCCCACATGCARGCTACTTAATTTGTCCAGGTACTGGTTTCCTTATTTGTAAATAAAATATATATCTAAGCTAGAGCGGAGCTATTCATGCTGAAGATTATGTAAGCAGTATCTCAAAGACAATGTAAGCATACAACATCATTAAATTTGACSTACTCTTTAAGGTCTTTTGTTGGGGAGGTGGATAAAAGACAAACATACATAGAACATTTAGTACAATGTTGACATTTAGCTGTGGACAAGTATCAGTAGTAACTGGAACCACATCACAAGCTCTCCTAGACTAGTTTGGCATCTTGTGGAAGAGAAAAGCTATAAAGATCTCTGCAAACTAAATTGCTATGGAGAGTTGGAGAATTGACACACTCTTAGGGGAGGGCAGTGAAGATATACTGCAGGACTTGCCATATGAAAGCTAATGCTTTTGGTGGGTTTATATATATATATACACACACACACATACATATTATGTATATATGTATGTGTGTGTATATATATATATATATATATATATGTGTGTGTGTGTGTGTATTTTTAAGTTTTTGATGGACCTTTATGTTATTCATTTATTTATATGTTGTGCTGAGAATCGAACCCAGTGCCTCACACATGCTAGGCAACTGCTCTACCACCCCAGCTCCTGGTGATTCTTATTGACAGGTAGGGATAAAAAGGCATTTACCAGATCAATAGAAGCTTATGAGGTACCAGGGATGTGTGAATTTGCTCAAACAATGAAACCACATTAGGTATAGCAGCTGCAATTGGAGCCATGACCTAGTTAAGCTTTGATGATCTACTGTTATTCCCTAAGACCCATCTGTCTTCTATGCAGGTCAAACAAGAGATGAATAGTTCTTGATAGTGGTATTAATCTCTATGATCCCTCTAAGATTATGCTATTGTTTTTGATTTACTATTTTTCTAGGTAGCAGCAATTCTAATGGCTTCCATTAGGTCTTTCTTACTATAATAGCATTTGTTAAACCAGTTAGGGAACCATTGTGGGGATTTTGCCTGCTCTTGCGTAGTTCATTCCAATTATGAATTCTAAAACTTGGAAATAACTGGATGATGAGTTTGGGGACCAACTGGGCCCACTGTGAGATGGACTTAAAGTAAAATTCGTTTGACTGATCACCTGACCTCCATAAGCACCTGCTTTGCCTGGTGGACCACAGAGATATTTTGGATTTCCCTGGACTACTTCAGTTCAGAGCCAGTGTCCAATAGTCCTGGAAAGATTTGATTATTTTCTTTTTCCAATGCACAGTAACTCTGTTAAAATGATCAAGGTCTCTTTGGGGAAGCTGGAAGAAAGATTAATAGTATACCAGTGGACGTTCTTTAAGGAACCCATCCTCCTCTTCATTCAAGGAGTTTTGGGTCTAAGAACTGGTGCAAGTCTGGGAATTGATTGACGGGCTGTGAATCTCCACATTTATGTTATGACTTTTGTTCACATAACCTAGAACTTTTGTCTAAAACAGATCACACAGAGGGGCTGGTGTTGTAGCTCGTGGTAGAGCGATTACCTAGCAAGTGTAAGGCACTGGGTTCGATCCTCAGCACCAAATAAAAATAAATAAATAAAGGGTATTATACCCATCTACAACTAAAAAAAAAATTTAAAAAAAGAATTTATAGACTTCCTATTATTTTACTTCCAGGAATACTATGATCAATGTCATAAGTCTGTGAAAATTAGACTATTCTGATTGCTGCTTTGAATCTATTATCCAATAACTACACCCACCTTGCCTTTAGGTTAGTAATATCACTTGATCCCTGTTGCCCTGGGATCCAATTACTGCCACTGCATATAGGTTCCCAATTCAAGGACCCAGGTTCCCACTAAAAGGTCTAGCCTATAGAGAGTAATCTAGGCTCTTTGCTAGGGCTACCTTCACAATTTCATTTCTTACAGTAATGGTAAAAGGTATGTCTCCTGGAGATGTAAAATTAATCATAACACTACTTCAAGTGGCCTCTTCCTGAATTCAACTAATGAGTAAAGAATAACCAAATAAAATTATAAACATTAATCTGTTGGGGGTGGAGAAGATAATATATTTCATGGAACCCCTTTAACTTGAAAAACATTTCAATTCATTAGACATCAGGCTTATAGAATAACAGAATCAGACATATACTACATACCAAGAGTTATTTCCCTTCACTACTTGAAGTAACCATTTAGTTTTGACTACTGATACAATGGCTAAGTATTATTTGTATCTGTACCCAAAGTAAAATAATTATGACTCTAAGAGTTAATATATAAATTTTAAAATAAATTTTTTCTTTTCAACTTTAGAACTTCTGAGGATGCCTGAAAATTCTCATTTCATTTAAACATTAAAAAAGAAATAATAATAATATATATGATTTAGCATACATGTTTTATAAAGATATCTTTTCTCTATTCCCTATCCACATCTTTTTTCTTCTCCTACTGATTTATAATATCAATTTTAGAATTATTTTACAATTTCAATGAACTGAAGTTTATTCTCAGTCTTTATTTTAAAGATATTCAAGTGAAAATTTTTTTTTTTTAAAGAGAGAATTTTTTAAATATTTTTAGTTTCGGCAGACATAGCATCTTTCTTTGTATGTGGTGCTGAGGATCGAACCCGGGCCGCACACATACCAGGCGACCGCACTACCACTTGAGCCACATCCCCAGCCCTCAAGTGAAATATTTAGGGCAGTATTTTTAAAAAAGAGCTTTCTGGTTTTTAAAGTATCTTTTTTTACTTTGCCAATGAATCAGTGTTTCCCAACCAACGTTTACGCTGTTCTACATACATGGAACAGAATCTTTCTTTCTGTCATTAGATTTCTCCCTCTTTCATTCTTGAAAGTTCCGTTCAAAACACACATCTCAGAGGTCACTGATGACACTTCCCATTATTTCCTCTTTAGAATCTGCTGCTGCATCTGATTATCTCTTTCAAACTTTCTGCTCTTGCCTCCAGAATGCTATACTGTCTTCATCCTTTTCCTGTGTATCTGACCTCTCTGTTTCTTTTACCTACTATTCTCTTCTTCAATGTGGTTATTCTCCAAAGCTTGGTGCCCTGAATGTTTCCTCTCTATAGATTCTCCCTCACTTATTCTCTCAAAATCAGACATAATCTCTGTGCTAATAACTATCAAATATGTCTCCTGAATTCTGTTCTCACAGTAGCTCTGGTTACACAATTTAGCATTTACTGGATATTTCTGAATGGATGATTAATTCAAAACTTAATTAAAAAAACACTCATGGGGCTGGGGATTGTAGCTCAGTGGTAGAAAACTTGCCTGGCATCTGTAAACCCTGGGTTCAATCCCCAGAACCAAAACAACAACCACAAGAAGAAAAACCACTCAACATTATTCTTCCCAAATGGGTTCTTGTTATTTAACTTCAATTCCACTCAGTAGAATGAACAAATATCACAATCTCCCCAGCTAAAAAGATTAGAATCCCTGAAGCTCATCGCCTCTGTCAGAGGAGAATAATGGGACGTAGTGCGACTCTAGATCAAACAGACCTGAATTTAATCCCAGGATTACTTGTTGTGTGATCCTGGATTATTTAATTACTCTCCAAGCCCAGATCTTCATCTGTAAAATGAGATTAATAATATCTATCCCACGGGTTGTGAGGATCAGAATGGTGAGATGTACACATAGGAGATGCTGGAGAAGAAATAGCTCTTCTTGTATCCAGTTAGTTACCAAATTCGCCTAAGTACCCCTACTCTTAATTCTAACTCTTAGTTATGTCTGGATTACCTTGAAGACTGCCTTAAATGTAGCCTCTTCAATCTATCCTTCGTACTCTTGTCAAAGAATCTTCTCAAATTTCATCAAGTCATATTCACATTTATTTATTTATTGGTACTGGGGATTAAACTCGGGGCCTCATGCATGTTAGCCAAGYGCTCTTCACTGAGCCACCTCCCCAACCCCTCTAGCTCTTTTTATTTTTATTTTGAGACATGGTCTTGCTAAGTTACCAGACTGGCCTAAAACTTGTGATTCTCCTGCCTCAGGCTCCCAAGTAGCTGGGATTATAGGTGTGTGCCACCACAGCTGCTTTATACTGATTCTTACAGTTCAGTGTTCAGTTCAGATTCTCTATCAATCAAGGCTTATTCAGCTTTTAAGGCTGTCCAAAACCCACCTACTCAAATCTATTTCAGCTATTACATCTCATTAAATATGCTGTCAGTAAACTCTTCATTGTCCTACCCACAAACCAAAGTCTTCGCTACCACCATGCTGTTGCTTCCAGAGGGTCCTTCTTTTACTATTGATATTCCCCTTTCCTGTCATATTTAAAATCTATACCAAGTATAACTTACTTGTGTGTAATATGTTGGTTTTCATTTCCCTCTACTTTTTAAATTAATCCTCTTTCCCTATTCTGAGTTTGCAGTTTAGTACTGATAATCCTACTGTGGTATAGCACCATGTAACTAAGAATACAAAATATTCAGATGGACTAAATGAGGAAAAAAAAAATGAATTAGTGTTAAATGCCCTAAATTAACTAGAGTTTTAAAAATGTAAGGTCACCAGGTACGGTGGTGCATGCCTGTAATCCCAGTGGCTCAGGTTCAAAGCTAGCCTCAGCAAAAGCGAGGCGCTGAGCAACTCGGTGAGACCCTGTGTCTAAATACAAAATAAGGCTGGAGATGTGGCTCAGTGGTCGAGTGTCCCTAAGTTCAATCCCCGGTATCCCCCACCGCCTAAAAAAGGTAAAAGTGTAAGGTCTTACACTGTTTGTTATTGTTCATATTGTATAAATTTTTATTAGCCCAATTCAGTGGAAGTTTCTTAAAAATAAAAACAAATGACTTTTTTTGCACTCCCATAAAAATTTAACACAATTAGACACTTAGTCTAATTGATAATATTTTCTGATAATGTTACATAATTGATACAGCTCTTTTAGAGTAAAAACTTTAGTATTAATTTTTATTTTGACCAAGTTTATTAGTACATGCCTGTCATCCTTGGTATTCAGGAAGCTGAGGCAATAGAATCTCAAATTCACGGCTAGCCTAGGCAACTTAGGTAGACCCTGTCTCTAAATAAATAAATAGGACTGGGAATGAAGCTCAGTGGTAGAGCATGAAAAAAAAAATATATATATATATATATTGAATACTAGAAAGTAATTATTTTAAGGCAAGGTAGATATATCTATTCTGCCCAGGAAAATTTTCTTTAATATTCCACCTTAGGATGATGCTTCATCCTTCCTGTTCTTTTCTCCCGGCTTAGAACTATACTACAGTAAAATTCTAAACAACTGTTGTAAGTCTGTGTCATAGTGTTTAACAGATAACAGATCAAATGATTTTTAAAATGTGGCAGCATGTTTCTAATCAATATYAGATGTAATATAATTTTCAGCATCTTCCATGGACAAAATCCTCAAATATGCCTACCATAATCTGCTGGTGTATAATTCACAAGTTCAAATTTCCAGTGTTTATAGTTCGAATAATTCTGGTACATGTCAAATATTTCTCGGGTAAATTGCTGACAGATATCACCTACAAGAAAACATAAAAAACAGTTAGTACAAAGCTTTTAAAGAGAGCTATCCTTAGAAATGAGTTCCTTAGGAAATGAGAAGTAACTACTTCCAAAGATGAACTCATTTAGTAGACTTTAATGTTGTAGTGATGTCAAATCAAGGTAAACTTCAAGAGTTTTTTAGGTCATTTACAATAACATGATTTTACTGACCTCCAGTAGTTCTTCCAGATGTCACCTCTAAAATAACATCATTTTGGTCGTATTTCTCTTTTGGCACTAGACTCTGAAAAAGCTGGAAAAGATTTTCCTTAGCATATTATTATTACTTGAACTTAGATAAAAGCCCTTAAATCATTAAAAAAATCAGTAATTAAAAAAATTATATAGTATCCCCAAGAGGTTAGTCCTAAAATGCTATAATAAGTAGATCAAATTAGACTAAAACAGGTGATCAGTTCATGTTAACAATGAAGTTACTTGTCCAGATATTCTGCACTGCTATCAGATTAATTTTCTAAAATGCAGAAGTTTAGATCAAAGCCCAGAATGTTCCATTCAATTTTCTTCAGATTTTGCCTCTCATAATTAGTTCTGAACAGTAGCTTCTTTCATCTAATGAATGAAGTAAGGCTTTCAAAGTTTTCATTTGGGATAAATAAATACATACATACAATTGCATATTCTCCCCTCCCATAAGTGTCAGTGGATATACCATGCCATGTCTTGCCTTCTCAGTGGGGACACTCTTTAAACACTAGCTTGAGGGCTCCTGCCATGACAAGGAAAAAAAAAGAAAAAGTGGATTCCTAATAAAGAAAGCAATCAACTTTCCTTTTAGGATAAAAGGGACAAAATTTCCTTAATATTCAAAGTCTTCCAAGTCAAATTAAAAGCACCTACATGTCATGACTTCTACTGCCAGTTTCTGAAATACTCTATCTCTGCTAGAAATGAGATAGTACATGAGAAAGAATATTAAACTAAGTGTCAGATACTTTAGTTTGCCTTTGATTAACTGGTTAAAGCAGTGATAAAAATAACTGATAGGGCTGAGGTTGTAGCTCAGTGGTAAAGCACTTTCCTAACATGTGTGAGGCACTGGGTTTGATTCTCAGTGCCACATATAAATAAATAAAATAAAGGTCCATCAATGACTAGGGAAAAAAAAAAAAGAATAACTGATACTTCTACTTCATCCCTCCAACCCCTGAAAGAGCCATTCTCCTGGATTCCCAGAGTAAGAAAGCTGAAGGTAAGATGATGGTAAATATGGTAGAGGGAAATGTATTCTTCACTGTCTTTGGAGATAAGCCATCCACTGAGTTAGAAGACAAAGAAACCACCTTGAAAGAAAAATTTCCCCTATGTTTCTAGGAGATACCAGCTGATACTGATGTATAGTATCATGAACCTTGAGAGATCCCAGTATCTTATTAAACCTAACTAAAGACTTGTATTAACCAACTGTCTCTAATGCCCCTGGATTCCTTCCATTCTAACCAGAGTGCAAATTTCCACTATGACTCACATCATCTCCTTTCAACATTTTAAAAACTCCTGATTGTTCCCCATGGCAGACTAAATTTCTTTACTAGCACGTCTTCTCTTGCCTGGCAAGTTAACAGATTCAGATTTTACTTTTCATTTATTTATTTATTTTTGTTCTGGGCACCTCTGTTTTATTGTTCAACATTCCAATGTCTTCAATCTCATTGTATAACAAATCCCAGCACTAAACCTAGCATAATTATTTATCATAAGATAATAAACCAGTGTTTGGGAAGTACTTTAGGCACCAACTCAGTCTAGCAGGAGGAGTATTTCTTAATGTTAACATTATTGAGATTAGTCTACTTCCTAAAACATACCTCACTGTACAGCATGTTGATTTTTTGATCAATGATTTGCCTTTCTTCCAATGCAAGTTCTTGTAACTGCTTCTCATCTTGTTTATTTAGACCTAAAAACAAGCAACAGGAATTATGGTAAAGTTTTTAAACAGTTACAGAAAAAGTCTTAAATAGCCACCTCATCTTTTGTCTATGTTTTACTTCAGTTAGGAAGGCAAAGCAATTAAAATACTTGGAGAATGTCAATTAATGAGTTTTGCTAAGCATCTTGACCATCCCCCTCTGTAGATTATGATTTGAATATCTGTAAGTAAGCACAGAAAACAGTGATTAACTATGGGCTGGAGCTGGAGCTCAGTGGGCAGAGAACTCACCTAGCATGTACGGGTTTAATCCTTAGTACCACATAAAAATAATAAATAAATAAAATAAAGGTATTATGTCCATCTACAACTAAAAACATATTTTTTTAAAAAAGAAAATAGTGATTAACTAAAGAGTTCTTAAAAGGAACTGGCTAACTAAATATAAACCCAAATAAGGTTAAGTTTTGGAGCAAATTGGGGTGATCATTTCCCTTTGAAGGTGGTAGCCATAACTCAGTACTCTTGTGATGTGTTTCTAGCAGTGGCTAGAACTCATTTGTTTAAAAGAAGTCATATATAAGAAGTCTTGAAATCTYTTGACACATTCATATCTAGCACATTTTTTAAAAACACTATGTGGGTCAAATAAAATATAGCTTTGTAATCTGTGCTACATGGAAACAACGGTCCTTTTCATATATCTCAAAAGCAGAAAGTTCAATTATGCAACTCCAGCAAAACAAGATAACAATGACAGAATGGCTAAGTATGGTGAATCCCATAAACTTTGACTCCATTGCTCTAGATGTTGAGCATGTATCAGTTGTGAGAGTTGCAAACGAAAGTAGAAATTTTTGATTCTCAATAATTATTAGGAAGAAAATAGAAATGAAGAAATAATTGTAAAAGAAAGAAGGCTCTATAAAATTCTTCTCCAGTCACAAAAGTCTTTAATCTAATGGGGATTCTGTGCCTCATTCACGTTTTCAGTATTTAACACTTACTATGTGCTAGTCATACTTCTAGTTGTTGAAGACTCAAGGAATAAAATATGGGTCCAAGCCTCAAGTGGGTCAGTCTGGGAAAGATGGACACATGCACACAATCATGGTACATGATAAGCAAAATGCCATTGTGTCTCAGGACACAAATGAAGGGGGATAATCCAAATTTCAGCATTTCAGGAGAGYTTCCTGGTTAAGGTATTTTCTGAGCTTGTAAATCATCTGCTGCAGAATTGTAATGTCACTACTGGTATCACTTTGCGCACATACACCACAAACCAGGCTGACATAACCCTTACAGTCCTGGTTCAAAGGTATCAGGAAAATTTTCTTTTCTAATCATATAATTTTTTTGTGGTCTCTTATTATTTGCTATAAATCTGTAAAATCCAGTCCAGTTCAATTTTATTAAATCAGTAAGTATTTGGGAGACTATTATATCCTATGATTGCCATAAAAAAAAAAAAAATAAGACTCAAGCCCTGTCCTTGAGGAACAGACAATGAAGTCAGGGGTGGAGACTTCTTAGCAAGTACCTTAAGGAGACTAAYCTCTTAGTAGTTATCTTTAGAAGCTGAAATATGTCAAATACTCTAAGTACAGAGTTCTTTTCTTGCCAGGTGTTGAGCTTACTGCTTGTAGGGTTTTAAAAAAAGATACAGTTCATTAAAGATTTAACATAAAAAGCCAATCCTGTACTTACACACACAATCTTTTACTTACTTTCACACATTGATTCTAATTCTTTAATTGTTTGTTCAGCCTCCTGAATTTCTTGGCAAATGGCTGCAAGTGGTGCCAACTCAGCATGCCTTTGGTTCAAGGACTTTTGGTCCCTTTCATTCAAAGATTTATCCTGCAAACACTGACCAAGTGCTTGATACTCCTTATTTAAGTCTTCCACATATTTCTGTAGTGCTTTATGCTTCCAGAGCATCCTGGTATCCTGATGACAATAACTCCTGGACCAATTCTTACTTAACAGACGATGGCGAATGTGATTCCTATTTTGTCTAAATGGCTTTGTAGACAGATGTATTTGTCTAAACTGATGAGAATGCAGGTGTATGTGATGCTGGGGATAAGCATTAAGAGATGAATGTCTAAAAAGCCAAACACACAGGTGACGATTCATTTCAGCACCTGAAATACAATAAACACACTTGAAAAGAAAAATAAACTCTAAAGATATATGGTACAATAGAGCTGGAACTTCAAATAAATCATGCTTTGCTCACTTTATCAGCCAGCTCAAAACACAGCCCCAAAGTTCCAACAACTCATAAGAATTCTTCAAACTTCTGAACAACAACATATTAAAATAAATGAAAACAGCATCCTTTTTCCACCCCAACCAACACATATAATTAACAAAGGCAAATGAGTGAGAAATATAGAAATATACAAACAGAATGGGCTAAATTAGTTATTTACTAGAAAATATCCAGGGTCAAGAATTGTCTGTCATAAACATTTGGAAGCTACAAAACAACTGTGCAAACTTTAGGTGGTTCATGGTTGTCGCCTTTTAAAGTTTAAAGGAAATACTATTGTCTAATTCTTTTCATTCTAGGCATCGAAATATCCTATGAATTCAGGTACCTTTATTGTGATTATTCACTAACTGGATAGAGGTAGAGCTGTTATTTGAATGCAAGTTGCCTACTCTAAGATTAATACTTTGTCATTCTCAATTCTGCAGTCACTKGTAGCCGAGATCCTCAAGAAGAAAACTTCAAATACTAAGAGAACAAGAAAGTAGGTCCGGTTAACAAGGGACAATGATGATAATTAAGTGAAAAAAAGCAGATACAGAATAATATAATTTCAGTTATGTTTTCAAAACATTCTACAATATATGGGGAAAAAACTCTACTGGAAGTATGAAAGTATTTTTTAAAAAGAAAACCAAAAGCTGAGCATACCAAACTGTTAATAAGAGGATCTCTAGAGATTATGTACATTTTGCTTGATTTGCACTTTTCCAAGTCTTTTACATATAAAGCACATATTACTTTCATAATTCTAAAAAGGTTACTTTAAAAAATTATAGGTTAGTAGAAATTGGCTCTGTACAATAATTACCTGTTCTCCCCTCAGATAATCAAGAGCTAACAAAAGTACACAATGATTTTATTAAGTAAGAAAAAGAAGAGTTGGGTGCTGTGGCACATGCCTATAATCCCAGAGACTCGAGAGGCTGTGGCAGGAGGATCACAAGTTCAAGGCCAGCCTCAGCAACTGAGCAAGACACCATCTCAAAATAAAAAATAAAAAGTAGCTCAAGGATTGAGTGCCCCTGAGTTAAATACCCAGCACCCAACAAGAAAAAAAGAAAGGGAAAATACAAAGCGTTCTAAGAAAAACAGTTTGCCTCTAAAATTCTAAGATTTGACATTGAAATAAGAGTTAAATTTTGGCATCATCTCCAGACAGGAGGGGTATTTTACATACTTGCTCATTTCATCTCTCTAAATCTGCTAACAGCATTATTGCTTAGGAAATAAAATATTCAAAATGGTCTCTAAAATATTCAACATTTAGGGTTCTGCTGATTTAACATACTGAATCTCATTTGGAAATGAATTGTGGAAGCATGCACCATTATTCAGGGCCACARATTTAACACTCCTCCAGCAGTTTCTGTGCATCAAGCTCATCAGAGTGAGTGTGTCCCCCATTTGATAGTGGAAAAAATAAAAAGATGACAAACATTTTTGATAAAATACTTCTAGCTAAAATTTCCATTTTATGAACAGCAGTAGAGTGAATAACTCTCAAGGTCATGAACTTCAATGTTAAGGGATAAAACCGAGACATTTACTCTCTAGGGTCATTTATATCTGATTCGAGCAAAATTTCTCTAGCACCCAAAATAACAGTGTGATTCTGCCATCTTAAAAGCAATTCTCGGTGTTAGCGTGTCAAAAGTGAAGGTAAGCCGGCGCTAAAGCAGCACGTGCAAACCATACTGTACAACTCTGTTATGGAGCGACTCCATAGGAAGGCACCACCAGGAGGTGGACGGGAAAACGAGTCCCGGTAAGACCAGAAGAGAATTGTGAGTACCTAAGAATAAGAAAAGAAGGCWTTAAGTTTCCTTACTGAGGCGGAACCTTCCGTGACCCTCTACCGTTCAGCTGGTCAGACCCGGAACACTATCACTTTGTGAATTACTCCTTCCGGTTGACGCTTGCCTCAGGCTCCTCGTCGGTCAGGACTCTTCTGCAGAGTAGYTTTTGAGCGTCCCTAACTATGAGCTAGAATGAGAGAAATGACAAAGCGAGACAAATCTTCACGAAACGAAACGCGCTTTATTTATCCGGAGTGGGAGTTCAGAGCGTGTGTTCCAATGGTGGAAGGACGGAAGGACACAGCTGACAACGAACCATAATTCCCAGGGGCTACCACCAAGGGATCCTGGGAGTTGTAGTTTGTCCTGCAGAAGGCCCCCACCACCACTACTTCCACACCTGGCCTTGAGCCAAAGGTGGAGGAGCTTTGATTTTCACATGCACGTGCAAACCAAGAAGAGAGATGGTCTCTGTTCTGATTAAGAGTTCAGGATTTACAATATATTATAGGTGAAATTACAAGACCTTGCTTTTCGGAACCCCTGATTTTTTATGAGTAAGCACTTTCGTCATCCAAATTTAGGAGATACTGTATGTTAATTGCTATATTTTCAGCTCCCAAAACTTGAGAAAATATCCAATGATTAAAAGAAACCTTAAACCTAAAAGTTACAACAGGATCCAAAAGACAGGTAAATACACACACAGGTATATGTATTTATATCTCCATAAGGTAATGACTATAATGTTGCATGCACATATAGAATTCAGGGGCTCAACCAATATTTATAGCTTGAAATCCACCTATTAAATAAATATTTTATAAATTCAATTAAACAATTCCAAGAAAATGCGAACATATTACTATACTTTGAATATTTTAGTGGGATATAATCCTTGGTTATCACATTTACGAGTCATTTGATTTCTGTGCCTCCATTTTTCTTTCTGAAAAGAAAAGGTGAAAAATACCCCATATTATTGAATTCAGAAGATTTTTTTAAAAGTTATGATCACATACATAAAAAAGAGATTATCCATAAGTGCAAAATAAAATGGAGGATTGGTTAGCTACTTAAACGTACCTACTTCTACCTGCTACATACTAGATACTTTTCTAAATGATTTAAACCTATTAATTCATTTGCTACTCATAACAATCCTAAAATTCACACTTTACAGAAGAGAAAACTAAGGCACAGAGGGCTTAAGCAATTTATACAAGGTAAAAGACCCAATAAATAACAAAGCAGAGATTCAGGCAAAGCAATCTGTTACATAATCTGTGGCTCCTAARCTCTGAGATGGTTCCCTTCCCACTTCCAAAAATTAAAAAAAAAATTAGAAAAGAGAAAACTTTCAATTATTCCTTAAAAAATATTAAACACCACTATTTCTTATTTACTGTTCTAGGCATGGGGATCTGGCAATGAACAGAAAAAAAAACCAGCCAGGTATGGTTGTACACACCTGTAATCCCAGTAGTTTGAGAGGCTGAGGCAGGAGGATTGAGAGTTCAAAGCTAGCCTCAGCAACTTAGCAAAGCTGTAAGCAACTTAGTGAGACCCTGTCTCAAAATTTTAAAAAAGTAAATAAATAAAAATAAAAAAATAAAAAGGATTGGTGGGGCTGGGGTTGTGGTTCAGTGGTAGAGTGCTCACCTAGCATGCACGAGACACTGGGTTCGATCCTCAGCTCCACATAAATGTAAAATAAAGATACTGTGTCCACCTAAAACTTAAGAATAAATATTAAAATAAATAAATAAATAAATAGGATTGGGGATGTGGCTCAGTGATTAAGTACCCTTGGATTCAAAGAACAAACAAACAAAAATATCTTTGGCCACATGGAATTTATGTTCTAATAGAGAATACATTTCAAGGGCTGGGTCTGTAGCTCATTGGTAGAGCGCCTGCCTCTCACGTGTGAGTCACTGGGTTTGATCCTCAGCACCACATAAAAATATATATAAAGATATTGTGTCCAACTACAACTAAAAATATGTATATATATTATTCATTATAATATCATATATATGGGAATACATTTCAAATTCTACATAAGTCATTCTAAATATTATCTGTGGGGGGAGGGGTACTTCTAGTACTAGTGCTTCACCATTGAGCTACATCCCCAACCCTTTTTATTTTTTATTTTAAGACAGGGTCTCGGGTGGGGGGCGGGGGGGAGGCTGGGGTTGTGGCTCAGCGGTAGAGCACTTGCCTAGCATGTTCAAGGCCCTGGGTTCGATCCTCAGCACCACATAAAAAATTTTTAAAAATAAAGGTATTGTATCCAACTATAACTAAAAAAAAAAAAAAAAAAAGACAGGACCTCACTAAGTTGCTGAGGCTGGCCTTGAACTTGTGATCCTCCTTGCCTCAGCATCCCAAGTCACTGGAATTACAGGCATGGACCACTGTGCCCAGCCATTCTCTTAAATTATTCCAGAAAGTCCTTTAATTCTTTGACTTGTGTATGCAACTAATAACTTAAGTATCATATGTAAAACTATTCTCCTTAAAAAGTAAGCCCTCCTTAAAAAAAAAAAAAAAAAGTTTATCTTACAGAAGTAGAGAATAGAATAATGGTTACCAGAAGCTGGGAATGTTGGCACAGGTTTGCTGGAGAGAGGATGGTGAATGGGTACAGATGTGCAGTTGGATAGGAAAATAATTTTTAATATCCTATAGCGTATTCTTGATTGACAAGAATTGATTGTTATTTCATCCACAGCCCAGTTGTGTCAAGGCAGTAGGGTAGATTGCAGACAGGCCAAAGAAAGTGCCCAAAGACAGCATGGGAAAGATGATTTACTAGGGAAAGCTTATAAAAGATCAGTAACTGCTCCAAGAAGAGTTTAGTGGTRACAGGCTGCCTGCATCTCCACCCCTTACAGTACTGTGCCAAGCAGTACCTCCTCTCTTTCACAGTGTTTTGTCCAATGGCAGCTAGCTGGACAAGTGACATGTATCCTTTCCACAGTGCCTTCAGTTTTACACTCATCCTCTTTCAGAGAGGGACTTTTTTGTGTTGTTTTTTTTTTTTGGCGCCAGGGATTGGACTTAGGGGCATGCGACCACTGAGCTACATCCACAGCCATATTTTGTATTTCTTTTAGAGACAGGGTCTCACTGAGTTGCTTAGTGCCTGGCTTTTGCTGAGGCTGGCTTTGAACTCTTGATCCTCATGCCTCAGCCTCCCGTCAGAGAGGGATTTTAGATGTTAGGCTGCAGAAGCTGTGATAACATCAGCATTAGTTTGCTTGTCTGACAAGCATCCCAAGGAGCAATTGTCCCAGTGTATATGCAAAAAGTAGTTTTTTATAGATAACACTAACTTGTTCTAATTCCCAGGGTACATGAAAGCCTCTGTTCTTTAAGATAATATATATCTGAACTTTCTAGCCCAGGCTTGCTCTCATTGTTCCCTTAACTTGGTGAGGTCTTTGGGAGCAGAAAGTAGGCATTCAGGGACATGATGTTTTACAGTCCCCCTTTGCTTTAGGGACTATATAATTGTATATTTCAAAAGAGCTAGTAGAAAAGATTTTGAGTGTTCCCAATACAAATAATAAACTCTTGAGGTAATTGATAGGCCAATTACCCTAMATTATACATATGTATTGAAATATAATACTACACCCCATAAATGTGCACAATTATGTGTCAATTAAATATAAAAATTTAAAAGAAGTTACAGTACAATTTTTGCCAAAAAGTCTTTAACAAGTCTTTGAAAGCCTTCCTATGAACTGCATTGTTCATAGCCATATTATTCATGTATATATTCAAAATTTGTATATTGAAGCCTTATCTCCCCATGTGACTGCATTAAAGATAGGACCCCTTAAGGAGATGATTAAAGTTAAATGAAGTTAGAAGGGTGGAGCTCTGATCCAGATCCAGTAAGATTAGTGTCTTCTGAAAAGAGACACAAGAGAGCTTTCTCAGTCTTTCTGCTCACACAGAAGGGTCATGTACCTGAATGCCAAAAGAAGGCACCCTAGAAAGAAACCTAACTTGCTGATTTGTACCTTGATCTTCCACTTCTCAGCCACCAAAACTGTGAAAAACTAATTTTTGTTTTTAAAACCACCAGGCCATGGTATTTTCTTACAACAGTCCAAGTAGACTAACATTTAAATATATAAAAATTCATTGAGATATACATGAAACTTCATGCACTTTATTGCATTATTCCTCAATTTGTAAAAATCTTTACAAAAAATTATTCTTAAGCAGACATGGTGGCCCATGCCTATAATCCTAGCAGCTTAGACGGCTGAGGCAGGAGGATCTTGAATTCAAAGCCAGCCTCRGCAACTTACTGAGGTCCTAAGCAATTCAGTGAGACCCTGTCTCTAAAATATAAAAAGGGCTGAGGATGTGGCTCAGTGGTTAAGCATCCCTGGGTTCATTCCCCAGTACCAAAAACAAACAAACAAAAAAATAACTTATGCTTTATTTTATTTGTTTATATTTATGTGGTGCTGAGGATTGAACCTGGTGCCTCACACTAGTACCTCACATGTGCTAGGCAAGTGCTCTGTCATTGAGCTACAGCCCCAGCCAAGAACTTATTCTTTTTTTTTCTTTAATTTTTATTGTTGGTTGTTCAAAACATYACATAGTTCTTGACATATCATATTTCACACTTTGATTCAAGTGGGTTATGAACTCCCATTTTTACCTCATATACAGATTGCAGCATCACATCGGTTACACATCCACTGTTTTACATATTGCTATACTCGTGTCTGTTGTATTCTGCTGCCTTTCCTATCCTCTACTATCCCCCCTCCCCTCCCCTCCCCTCCCATCTTCTCTCTCTACCCCATCTACTGTAATTCATTTCTCCCCCTTGTTTTTTTTCCCCTTTCTCCTAAGAACTTATTCTTGATACTATAAATACTGCTTTCTCCTGTAAATTTTCAAAGAAAGAAAATAATGTGGTCTATTTATATTTATTTGCATGCAAAGATATTCACATTATATCATTTTTATATTTATTTTTTAGTTATAGGTGGACACAATATCTTTGTTTTATTTTTATGTGGTGCTGAGGATGGAACCCAGTGCCTCACGCATGATAGGTGAGCACTCTACCTTTGAGCCACAATCCCAGCCCCACACRTTATATCATTAATTGAAGGAACATATTTTGAAAATAGGCAGCTATTCCATTTTAAAAATATTTGGGGCTAAAGATGTGGCTCAGTGGTAGAGTGCTTTGCCTATCATGTGCTAGGCCGT